AAGTCACGCTCCGCTAGACATATGTCGCACGTCTGTTTGCCATCCCACACGCCGCGTCGCCATCGCGCGTGTCGCGAGAAGCACCGCTTTGGGCGTGCAGTGGCGCAGCTTGCGCGTTTCCAACAGCCTCGTTCATTTTTGCTGCATGTCTTGCACGCACGCCGGCATAGATGTCCTATGCGCCACGCAGCCACGCTGAAGTCTGCTTCTTCCTTAAGTTCCCCGCACTTCTGGCATCGCTTCGTTTCCTTGCAGTTCAGAAGGTAGTTAGAGGTCCCTCACCACATTTGATGCTTGATCCAAGCAAGGGGGTCGGCGGCACTGGGCGGCCCCTGAAATCCGGGCGCCCCGAGCCCGTGGTTTCCCCGAGGCCTTTGGTTCCCTCTAACCGAAGGTTATAAGGCTTGCGCCCCTGCCGCCGACCCACTCTAGGTTCACTCTAGCCCCACTCTAGGTTCACTCCACGTTCACTCCGTGTCGAACGGAGGCTGCATTCACTGCTAAGGGGCGAAGGATTTGTGAATTTGTTCAGGCGATTTTTGACGACTTGTTGAGCATATCACCTGCATCGTCCGCATCCATGGCGGACATTGATGCGGATAAGGCCGGTGATGCGGGGGATGCTGGGGATGTTGTCACCTGAGTCGGGCCAATTTTGCCGAGAACGTGCAAAAACACAGTGTTTTTGAAGGTTTTTGGCGGGCGCAAACGTGGGAAAATATGAAAACCTGCTTAGCAGGCAGGCTTCAACGGTCCCGGCCGAACTCGATTTTTGGTAGGGCTTTTCGGTGAACCGCAGAAAAAACACTGTATTTTCGATAGTTTTGTATGGATTCATGGCCGGGCGCAAACGCGGAAAATGTGGAAACCTGCTTAGCAGGCAGGGCTCACCTCTCCCTGGCCGAACCCGATTTCTGGCAGCGTTTTTGGCGAACAACCGAGTGTTTTTGCTGGTTTTGTACAGGCCGCGCGGTTGCGAAAATCATGACAGCACGTGGAAAACTGATGCTTTTCGGGGCGCCCGGCTGTCAGGCGCAAGCCCTTAAATCCGGCTACGCCTTGTTGGGGTAGCATGTCGCCGCTGGGCAATTAGCCTGCTAGCTTTAGCTATAGGGGCTGCACCCTGGCGCCGCCGACCCTCGCCACTTGGTCGTGATGCGCGGCCTAAATCCGGCACCTCTGCATCACCAGCTCGGGCTTGCGGTTTTGCTTGACTGTGGGAAACCCTCGCGAAACATCGCGTATATGCGGTTTGGGCCATGTGGCTGACATCGTCAGGGTCTGGGGTTGGGCCTGGGTGATGCTTCAGCGGGGCTTGGTCTGCATCATCAAGACTTCCTTCCAAAAAGCTCGGAGGGGTATAAGCGAGGCTCATTTTTGCGCATTTTGGCGCTGCCGGGCATGCCGGCGGTGCTGGGCCCTCGCTCTACAAAACGCTGTAAATACCGCCAAAAACTGTTTGCTGAGCGTTGGCCCGTTGTTCTGTCCGTTTTGCTTTGGCCGTGGCTGGCTCGCGTGCTGCGCGGTCCTTGCTTTTTTCGTTGGTTTTCGGGCCTTCTGGCGCGACCCCAGCCACAAAACGCTGCTATTTACGGTGTTTTGTTGCATTTGTGTTTCCGGCCTGGCTTGCGGGCTGCTCCTTTTGGGCTGCTTTTTTTGGGTCTTCTGGCGCGCGCGCGCGACCCCATGTCAGCCTTCTGGATTGGGGCCCGGATGGGGCCCAGAAAGCCGGCATCCCCGGCATTATTTGGGGTTAAGGTGGGCAACATGCATAACCTAACCTGCCATATCATAGCACACGCTGCGTTTCTCATGCAAAAACATGACATGACATGGTGTAACTTCAAAGAGGCGTGGCCGGCCCAGAAAATAAACCCCTACCCAATAACCGATGATCATTGTGAGTTGTTCAGACCTCTGCATTCAGGGGCGCCGGGTGTCAGCCACATATAGGCATATATATATATATATATCTATCTATCTATCCGCCGAAATTGTTCGGCGTGTCGGATACCTAAGAGAGGATAGAGGACCGGGACACGTCAATTATGCAGGGTTTCGGCCCCCCCCTCCCCCCCGCCCCCCCCCCCCCCGGCAATTTGATAACGTTCCACTAAACGTAGTCTTCGGGGAGCCGGTGTCGCAAAACAGGGGTCCGGGAGCAAAGGGGAAATGCAAGGAAGTGCAAGGAAATGAGGGGAGGAAATAGGAAGTCGACATGACAGGAAAGCAGCAGGAAATGAAAGGGAAAGAAAGGGGAACTGAAAGGGCACGCAAGGGAAAGAAATGAAAACAAGGGGAGTGCAGCAAAAATGAAAGGGAAACAAAGCACAAGGAAACCAATCGGCATGACGGGAGATGTAGGGAAATGGCTCGCAACGAAAGAGCGGGACACACATGGAAAACGAAGCGGACATACCGAGAAAATGTCAGGGACACGAAGGGGGAGTTGAAAGGCATGGAAGGGACATGACCAGGACCTCATGGGAAACGATGAGGGGGGAAATCAAGGGACAGCCAGGACAGTTCAGGGTCATGAAGAAGCAATGCGCGGACATCGAGGCAACTCAGGGGGGGACGTGACGCTGCAATGCAACGCAATGCAACGCAACGCAACGCAGTGCAATGCAATGCAACGCAATGCAATGCAATGCAACGCAATGCAATGCAACGCAACGCAATGCAATGCAATGCAACGCAATGCAACGCAATGCAATGCAATGCCATGCCATGCAATGCAATGCAATGCAATGCAATGTGATGCAATGCAGAGAGAGAGAGAGAGAAAAAAAGAAAGAAAGAGAGAGAGAGAGAGAAAGAAAGAAAGAAAGAAAGAAAGAAAGAAAGAAAGAAAGAAAAAAAGAAAGAAAGAAAAAAAGAAAGAAAGAAAGAAAGAAAGAAAGAAAGAAAGAAAGAAAGAAAGAAAGAAAGAGAGAAAGAGAGAAAGAGAGAACGAGAGAAAGAGAGAAAGAGAGAAAGAGAGAAAGAGAGAAAGAGAGAAAGAGAGAAAGAGAGAAAAAGAGAAAGAGAGAAAGAGAGAAAGAGAGCAAGAGAGCAAGAGAGCAAGAGAGAAAGAGAGAAAGAGAGAAAGAGAGAAAGAGAGAAAGAGAGAAAGAGAGAAAGAGAGAAAGAGAGAAAGAGAGAAAGAGAGAAAGAGAGAAAGAGAGAAAGAGAGAAAGAGAGAAAGAGAGAAAGAGAGAAAGAGAGAAAGAGAGAAAGAGAGAAAGAGAGAAAGAGAGAAAGAGAGAAAGAGAGAAAGAGAGAAAGAGAGAAAGAGAGAAAGAGAGCAAGAGAGCAAGAGAGCAAGAGAGCAAGAGAGCAGAGAGCCAGACAGCCAGAGAGCCAGAGAGCCAGAGAGCCAGAGAGCCAGAGAGCAGAGAGCAGAGAGCAGAGAGCAGAGAGCAGAGAGCAGAGAGCAGAGAGCAGAGAGCAGAGAGCAGAGAGCAGAGAGCAGAGAGCAGAGAGCAGAGCAGAGAGCAGAGAGCAGAGAGCAGAGAGCAGAGAGCAGAGAGCAGAGAGCAGAGAGCAGAGAGCAGAGAGCAGAGAGCAGAGAGCAGAGAGCAGAGAGCAGAGAGAGAGCAGAGAGCAGAGAGCAGAGAGCAGAGAGCAGAGAGCAGAGAGCAGAGAGCAGAGAGCAGAGAGCAGAGAGCAGAGAGCAGAGAGCAGAGAGCAGAGAGCAGAGAGCAGAGAGCAGAGAGCAGAGAGCAGAGAGCAGAGAGCAGAGAGCAGAGAGCAGAGAGCAGAGAGCAGAGAGCAGAGAGCAGAGAGCAGAGAGCAGAGAGCAGAGAGCAGAGAGCAGAGAGCAGAGAGCAGAGAGCAGAGAGCAGAGAGCAGAGAGCAGAGAGCAGAGAGCAGAGAGCAGAGAGCAGAGAGCAGAGAGCAGAGAGCAGAGAGCAGAGAGCAGAGAGCAGAGAGCAGAGAGCAGAGAGCAGAGAGCAGAGAGCAGAGAGCAGAGAGCAGAGAGCAGAGCAGAGAGCAGAGAGCAGAGAGCAGAGAGCAGAGAGCAGAGAGCAGAGAGCAGAGAGCAGAGAGCAGAGAGCAGAGAGCAGAGAGCAGAGAGCAGAGAGCAGAGAGCAGAGAGCAGAGAGCAGAGAGCAGAGAGCAGAGAGCAGAGAGCAGAGAGCAGAGAGCAGAGAGCAGAGAGCAGAGAGCAGAGAGCAGAGAGCAGAGAGCAGAGAGCAGAGAGCAGAGAGCAGAGAGCAGAGAGCAGAGAGCAGAGGGAGGGGGAGAGGACGACAGAACACAGGGAGACAAGGCAGAGGAAGAAGGAGAACAGGGAGAGCACAATGTCAGCTGAGCCGGAGGCTCTAAAGTATATATATATATATGGTTCCGGTTGGCGAGCGGCCACCCCCCCCCACCCCCTGCAACGGTATCCCCCGCCCACGTTGGGGGGCGGGGTGGCCGCTTGCCGACGGCGTCGGTACGACTCTTGAAGCCTTGGCCCTAACGGGAACCCACCAGCGGGTTTTTACAGGGGGGGAGAGAGGCCTTTTGCAAGATGACCATAACCTGCAAAAAAGCCGAGCGGGGTCGACTCTCGAAGCCTTGGCCCTGACCGGAACCCACCAACGGGCCAGGGGGGGGGGGGGGGGCGGAGAGGCCTTTTGCAAGATGACCAGAACGTGCAAAACCAGGAGAGCGCACACCGGGTGCGACTTGAAGCCTTGTCCCTAACCGGAACCCACCAGCGGGCCCTACAAAAGGCCTTTTGCAAGATGACCATAACCTGCAAACCCAGCGGGCCCGCAGGGGTGGGGCCCTATTTAAGGCTACCATAGACCTCTACCATATATACATATATGTGACCTATCTATGCCATATTGCGCCTTCTCGGCTTTCCCACCTTAGTGGGCCTGCTCGGCTTTGCTCGGCTTGCCCCAAGACCTGGTCAGCCTAGCTCTGCTTGGCCTGCTTGACCCTTAGCAACCTGATTTTGACCATTTTGTCAGTGGCAGAACAATTGACAGCAAGAAACGACCACACGCTAAGAGCAGATCCTGCAGTCGGCTCTTGTCCTCGAGCTCCAGCGGCAAAGGTCGGCACTTCAGAACGCTCAGAAAGTCGCTCATTCCCTGCATCAAGAACAACGTGTCGCTTGCCACATGGCGCAAATCTGTTGCACTGCGCCTCTGAAGATGGCAGATCCTTGGGCAGAAGACCATCCAATCCTTGGCTGAAAGAATGTCTGCTTCCTTCCTGGCCCCAAAATCCTGTTTGGAGGCACTGGTTCTGTTTCTGGTACGTCCCGGAAAAAAAGACTCGCGCGCCCCGTGCCTAACAAATGGGCTCTCCACGTTTTGGGTCCCGCGAAACGGCCCAAACCGCAACCTCGAATCCCGAATGTATGATCAAGCAGACGCTATAAAAAATTACCCAGTCAAATTGCTCCAACACAGGGCCGCCAAACAAGCCGGCAACCCAACCCTGCGGACACGAAGCGCAGCTCTGTTCTCCTTGATGGCTGGTCCTTGCTGATGCATGAGCTCTGTAAAGAGTCGATTTGGGGGTTGATCGCAAGGTCCTTTACATGGGATTACCATTGGGGAGAACCACTACAAAAACGATACGTCCCGCTACATGGGAAAAGTTACCTTTGTCATTTGGGAGCCAGGAATATTGATCAACCCACGCGCAAACTATCTATGAGTTGACAATGTCTTGCGGTCAAATGACACTTCCACGTGTTACAAACCTATCGGCGCAAGCAACGCTCCCTATTTGTTTCCAGAGAATGCTGGTTTCGTGTGGCAAATAAAGCGGAACTAAACGCGCCCAAGCAACTGCATCTGCACTGCCTCGGTTGCTGACTCTGAAAGCCAGGCTCCTCAATGTTCCTCCAGTGTGCAAGTCAAGCAACCCATTTGAAGCGCTCCAGGTACGAAGGGTGGAGCATCAATAGCTGCAGCCCCGAATGTTGATGGCAACAACTCCTTCCAAAGACACGAATGAAACAAACAGCAAAGTCCAAGCGCGCTTTGTCACAGTGTCACACTCTCACACTGCCAGTCACGCCGCCGTCCTTCGCAAGGCTCGCTTGTGTGGCCGGCGTAAGTACCTGAACACGCCCGCGGTCCGGATTGTGAGCAAAATGCTTCAAACGAGCCGCCGCGAGCCTCGCGGTTCTCGCCGCTGGGCGATGGCTGCAAGGCACCATCATCGCTCTCCTGACATCCACACATCTGACGCAAACGCTCTGCGCCTCCTAAGAAAACTCATCCCTTCGTTCCTCGTTGCCCAATCAAGGCTGCCTTGACTAACCACAAGGGAACCAACCATTTTTGAGGCCCCTTAAGAAATCATCCCCACAAAAGACCCCAGATTCTCTTGCGCGCGATGCTGTGAATTGACGCCTGCTGTTGTTAAATCGTTCCAGTTGTCACTTGGCTCATGTCGTGCATCATAGTTGTTCTTTCTTTCTTCGTCCTTATGGATTGTATAGTCTGAATAACCCGACGCACCAAATGAAACAGTTTTATTATCAAGTATCGCATCATTTTTGCTTTGATGTTTGCTTGTTCTTAATATCACTTAAGTTTATAATTCTTCGTCGGTTGGTATTAGTTTATTTTGTAATTGATAGGTTTGTTTTGTGTTCGCTCTGTCCATAAACTGTTAAGAATACATCCGGCGCAATATCAATAAATGCCACGTTTAATTCTGATTGCATTTTGAATGATAGTTGGTTGGCGTAATAAATTTCACCGGACACATCAACGGCTGTGCTTCTGAGTTAAAACATTGGAGCTACTATATATGACATAACCTCTCTTGTCTTTTCCGCGCGCAGCTTGGCTGCGCAAGAGGGCTGGCGGATTTAGTTGCGAATTCGAACGCTACTTTTGCATGTACAAGCTGCGATTTTCGGGCTGGAGATACGGAAGTCTAATTCACGTGCTGCTAGTCCGCCGACACGTCGGACACCTGAGAGCGCATAGCAAATGACCACCCCCCCGGGCCCGCACCCTAACGCTTCACTAAAAATAGACTTCGGGAGGTGTGGCAAAACACAGGACAGGAAATGGAAATGGCAGGGAGGCGGGGGGAGATGCAAGAGAAACGAAGGGGAACCGAAAGGGAAAGGCAGGAGAAATGCAGGGAGAGTTAGAGGGGGTACGAAAAGGAACGCTTCGGCACGCACGATCTCCGTCAAGGGTTCACGTTCGCAAAACATACTGCGCCCACAACGAAAAACACATGCCAGTCGCACAGAATTGAAGAAAGGCCCCTCTCATGCGAAGCTGACTTTTTTCAACAACTGCCATGGCTTTAGAAACTTTAGAGCTCCAGTTGTCCACGATTAGAAAAAAGCACTTTGCTCTCAAAACTGCGCGTTTGGCGCGAGGTTTCCTCAAAAACCACACCCCGCGTCGTAGCACGAACCTCGGCGCGCCTGAGCCCTGCCGTCAATCATGCACTTTGCTTCAAAAAACAAGCTTCGCAAGAGGCTACCTTGAAAAATATAGCGCCAATGTGGGTTCGTGCCAGACTGTAGCATCGAAGGCAATTTTGTACGCAGAGGGCCCACACTTTGAGCGCGAACCCTTGATCTAACCCAGCCTAAACTCGTACCGTAAGAACCGCTTAGCGCAAACACTGTTTGGGGGTGACACCTGTCCTTCCTGTTCTCCCGCCTCGTCCATGTCCTTGCCGGCCAAGAAGAGCGCCACTGCGGACCTCGGCACCAGCGACACTGCAACCAGCTCAACTGCACCAAGTCTCAAGTTGCTGACGCCATGTCTTCAGCCAAACCTTTGTCGGCATCCGTCTCCTGCGTTGCACATTGTCATCCTCATCTGACACGACGACTGTGCCTTGGTAGTGGATTCCGGCGGCTGGTTGTTCTCAGTGTCTGTTTTTGGGCCTGGCACAGCGGTCACAATGACACGTCGCTCATCTTCCGCAACAACCACAGCAAACCCGCAGGGAGCAAGCCATCTCTGCGACTCGATCCATGATCAATCAGTGAAGCTTCGGCTTCGGTCCTGGATTCGATCCTGGATTTGATCCTTGATACGTCCACTCCAGCACCGGGGCCTTGCACGAAGCTGTTCCCTCAAAAAACCAAACACAGAACACGGTGGCTCATAAGGGACCAACAGCAGCGGGCGTTTTGGAGCACCAACCACAGTCATGTCACAATGCCATCATGCAAGCGTTGAGACACGCCTGAACTTCATCCGCTGCCGGCTTCGGATCTTCTTGAAGGCCTGGATCCAAAATCGTGACAGCCCGCAAGACCGCAAAATCAGGCCTTCTGACTCCCGGAAAACATCCACGCAACCAGGTGAACAATACGAAAAGAACGAGTTGATTTCTGTGCAACCAAATGATCGGCATCTCTGCGCCGATCATAACGCCCCAAAAAACAGCACGCTTCTTGCAAAGGTATGCCTCTTAATTTCAGGACACATGGCAACTACAACACCAACAAAACGCATTGGTTCAATCCCGGCCAACACCTGCAAAAATACGTGGCGCCTCAGGAATGATTCAGTCATTCAGCTAGCAAACCTTCGGTTTTTGAACGAAGGGCTCAAGCCGGCGGAGAAATGTACATGGAAACGCTCCAAACACGGTGTACGCGCAAAGGTATCTCTTGCCTCACATGCGCGCACCCTTCTCTATGGTACTTCGTACCTTGAGGGGCGATCTGTGTTTTGATGGGATTTACCTTGTTTTCAGCTCTCAATGTCCTTGGCGTGCTTGCCGTAGCGCTCGTTTCACCATTATCTTTCTTTATCTCCTGATTGTTGCGTCTACAACACTTCCTGTCGATAACGATCGTGATCACGTTGCGTATGATCATAATGAGCCACATGCTAGGTGTGCGCCACATAACTGCAGAAAGCTGATGCCTTCGTCGAAGTCCGTAGTCCGAGACGCCGCTGCCGTGGTCATGGTCATGAACAGCATGCTAAGGCCCAAAACGCTGTGTCAATCTTCTTCACCATTTTCTCAAGCGCTCTGTCGCCATCTATCAGATCTTCTTCCGTGACCTTGTTCATCTCAAGTTGGGAAGCTTCTTCACATCAAGCTTGTGAGCTCCTCCCAGTGCTAAGCCGCTCCTCGCTGTTTTAGTCAATGCGCCCGCCGTCATGCACTCCGTCGGCGTGATGAGGATGGTCCACTTTGTGTGTCCAGCTGCTCGTGCTTCACAATGAGCTAACATGTAGTGTCCCTGCCACTTATCTTGCGGCAAGGTCTTGGCGCCAGTGCTACACGAAATATCTTGCTGCCGCTTTCCTGAACTTTCAATAGCTGCTGCAGTGTTGGTTGTGGGTCGCGCGCTGATCAACGTCGCACACTCCAATGCACTTATGGCTGCCAGTGTTTCTCATGACTTGTAGAGTAAGCACCACTTCGCCCAATGTCTTGTCCGAGGAACCGCTGATGCCCGTGACATTAGACACCTCCAAACCGCAGATCTCCATTCCTGAAATAGAAGGTCAGGTTCTTAGAGGGTCGTGCTTCATGAGGTTCTGAAGGCGCCGACGCAGCAGACTTCCTTTCCCAGAAGGCCCCCACGTACCGAAACCTTCTCCTTTTCTTGCCCTCCTTGCCTTCCGAACTTGTCGCACGGCTTGCCGCAGGACTTTCCACCTTTGCTGCCCTCACCCTTTTTTTTCCGGTGCCACAGGACAATCCGCTGCATGCGCCACTTGCTTCCACACACATGACATCCGCTGCGACCGAAAGCCCTTTTCTTCTTCGTAGTCCTTTCTGACAATTACTCCTCGTGGTCGTATTCATCCGTAATGTAATACCATGAGTCGTCTGTCCTTGGGCCCTCGTCTATGATTCGGACCTATCATCCAGTTGCTCCGCATTCGTGTAGAGCCCATCACCTCCGCCAGTGGCCTTCTCTTTGAATTGAGAAAGGCTGAGCGCCAAAAATGCGGATCCAAGAATCTCCAAAGGTCTCCACGCACTTGTAGCCGAAGGTCATCTTGATGACATTGGGGCAATAGCGACTGCTTCAACCAGAGGTCGGCTCTTGCCACATTGTTCATCTGCAGATTGGCTTGGGTGTGAGCCTCCTCGTAGCGCAGTACTTCGTCGGGGCAATCGCAGATCCTGTACCACAACTTCATCTTGGCGAAGCACAGCACAGCTTCAGCGGGTACCGACGTCCTTCCTGAACGCTTCCAGCGGGAGGCCTTGAGAGCCAGACGAAGCACGCGCCACGCACGGGTCCTGGATCCACTGCGAGCCGTGATCTTATCACACGCAGCGGCTGCCCAAAGGCAGCAGAAAACAGAGCATGCTTCCTCCTGCTTCCACAAAAATTGAAAAGCATGTGTGAGCTGGTCTTGGCTTAGAAATTCTGGACGAAATTCATGATCTCCGCCAGCCAAGGCCCGACGCAGGTGCAGCGAAGAATCCCGTGATGGAAAAGATCCTGGTATCCATAGTTGATGTTATTTGCTCTCGGCGGCTCTGAAGACCGTAGCTGCAAGTTGCATGACTCTCCACCCAGCAACCTGAATGGGTTTGTGTGTATGTCAGCGGTCAGATCCCTTCAAAAAAGGGATCTTGCACCCCCCTCAAAAACCGGAAAACTCCCCCTAAAAGCCAACCCAACTCCGGTCAAATCCCTCTAGAAAAGTCATCAACTTCCCATCTCCCCCTCTAGAAACCGGTCACGGTCCAACTCCTGTCAAATCCCTTTAACAAACTGGTCAAATTCCCCTCCAGAAACCTATCCAATCCCCCCAACCAAACCGCAGAAACCGATCAAACTCCCCATTCTGTAGCTCTCTGCAGCTCCCGTTCTGGCCCTTGAAGCCTTGAAGCCATGTGGAAACACGGAGACCAGCTCACGCAAACACAAGAAATCAAGGCAAACTAAAGCACGGTGTAAACCTCAAAGCCAGCCAAAAGCGGACTGGCCGAGGCGGGCAACACGAAGCGTTTACAATTATTCAATTGGTTGGGGTGTTGATTTACTAAAGCAATATTAACTTATTATCGCCACATTGACAATGGACAACATAGTGCCTTAGTATTCATGTTGAAGCTTATGTAAGTGAGATGGAATGCATGCACTTTTGCACACAGGCGTTAGTGACCGTTAGTGGACAGAAATACACAATCAGTGTTTTGTAGCCTGCTCAAAATGTCCGCGGAGCAACCTAAACAAACGATGCTTTCTGCTGCAGTCGGGGGAATGCTAGTTTTGCCTGGCAGGCTGGATGTGACTTGTGATGGGTGGTCATTGTTGGGTGAGGAGATGATCTGCAAATCCTCGGTGAGGGCTCAACTTATTTAAGTGCAAATACAACATCTGTACACGCACAGTGCATACGGGTGGCGCAACGCTATCTTCCAGGGGCACTGCAGCTCAACATGACCCGACGTAGCTGACATGTCCACAAAACCCAAGTGAGTAATAAAATCCGCAAGTTGGAAAAACATGACATTCAAGAGTCAACCTCTGAGTGGCGAACATGTCATTGATTAAAACATGTGCAATGATGGCAATGATGTACACTGAAGTGGGATTGTGTGCCATAATGTAAGTAGAGGAAAGGCCGAAGTGAAGACGGAGTACTCATTGAACTCGGCAGAGACAGCACGGCATTCAGTCTTGCTTTCCGCAAAGCCTTGCCTTGAGACCAGGGCCACATAGATCCTGACCATTCGCTTTCTGATTTCATGGCAACCTGGCAAAGAGGCAGGAGCGAAGTCGGCAAGTCACAAGATGATCTAGTCTGAAGTCCACTAACGGATAAGTCAAACATTTTTGTTGCAAACTAGGTTCCCAACCGGCTGGCGGATCTGCATCTGGCGAACCTCCATGTCTGGGCCTCGTACAAGGCAAAGAGAGATTGGATGCGTGCAGATCCCTCGCCTCCCCATCCTGACTCCCAGCTCGGCGTCCACTCCTCGGGGGCCTGGACGAGGGCAAATCTGTGGGTCAAAACCCTTGTCCCCCCTACCTCCGGGATTCCCTTAACCTGGACGAAACCAAAGCGATGCTAACCCAAAAAAGGGCATCTGGGTTTTGACCCACACCCAAATTGGACAGCCGTGCTGAGCTTCCAAGTAAGCATCTGTTCGGTTGTTGAATTGCATGCCCAGCATCATCATAAACTGAATGTAAGGGTCCGAGGATCTTTCAATATTGAGGATTCTGAGACGCATGTCTGTCTCATATGAGAGCTGCTTCTTGGTGATGCCGTTGTTGGAACTGAGGCACTGATGCTTGCAGCATTTCTGAATGGCGTTGGTGACGCAAAATCCCATACCGGAGATGCTGGAGATACAGAAGCAGCATCCAGCATGACCCACACAATCCACAGAAGACATCATGCACTAGAAAGAGCTAAATAGCGGCTGCTCCTGCGTGCGTGTCCAAGGGGAAAATAAAGCAACTGTGCGCGCAACAAAAACAGTAAAGCTGACAAAGCAAGCCAGCGTAGCTGGTGTGGGGCGAAGCCCATCCAAGTGTTGCTGCTCTCAAAAGGCATGACGATTCTTCAAGTCGCGCTGACCATGGTCAATAGAAAAGTGTAGAACGTCGTCGTTGTTCTTTTCAGCTGCACCGAGAGTCCCAGTCTCACAAACCCTGCCTCCCAAGACTGCATCCCCATGAGGCTCCGCTGCAGCAGCGCCAGCTGAAGACGAGTGCGCTGTTCGGACGAAACATGACAAACATGACATGCTCTGTTTCGAAAGAGGAAATATCCCTTGGCGGTCTTGGTGTTTCTTGACTTTCGAGCTGCGTAATCCCGGTTCTGGGCAGGACCTTTACACACTGGCCTCCTCTGGAGTTGCATCTGTAGCATCACCAAACCAATTCGGCTCTGATAGCCTTGGGCTTGCTCACAATTTGCACCCACAGAACTGTGCCGGCAACGCAAATCATCTGATTCGGGGAAACGACGTGACTTGTGCAAATGACCGTATAGCCCGGCAAAAAAGAGAAAAAACATCCAATTCATCCAATCCCCACATGCTTTTTCATCGGCCGCTCCCATCGATTCAGCAATTCTGAGAAGCCTGTTGTAGCTAAGCAGCTGTTGATCTTGGCGCCAGAAAGCAAATGTCCCAGGCGACCTGCGAGTATCCGTTTAGGTCAAAAGGATACCAACCAAGGTCCAGGCTCCCGCGAAAGCCTGTCTGACCAAGCATTCGCCTCAAAGCTCGTTGTGTCTCCGCGCGAAAAAAGTGGCACTCTGTCCCTAGACATGTCAAGATGTTGCAACGGCTACAGCAGCAGCAACAGCGATCACAACAACAGCAGAAGCAACAACACCTGTTGCTGTAGTAACAGCAACAGCAACAGCGGTGGCAACAACATCAACAGCATTAACATCAGCAACTGCACCATGAACAGCAGCTACAGCAGCAACTGCACATCAACAGCAACAGCAACTGCAACGACGGGAACTGCAAAAGAAACGGCAGCAACGGCAGCAGCAGCAGCTGCTGCTGCTGCAAAAGCAGCAACGCCAGCAAAAGCAGCAACAGCAGCAACAGCAACAGTAGCAACAGCAATAGTAGCAACAGCAACAGTAGCAACAGCAACAGTGGCAATAGCAACACAATAACGGCAACAGCAAAGCAACAGCTCATCAAACAAATGCCCACAATAACAACAACGCATCATCATCATCATCATCATCATCATCATCATCATCATCATCATCATCATCATCATCATCATCATCATCATCATCATCATCATCAAGTGCGACAAGAGCAGCAGGCCACTACATCATCAGACACAACAACCGCAACAGCATCATAAGCATCCCCAACAGCAACAGCAGAAACAGCGTCAACTGCAACAGCAGCAGCAGCAGCAGCAGCAGCAGCAACAAATGCAACCGATGCAACAAATGCAACGTCAGCAACAGCACCCACGGCAACCGCCTCAATAGCAGTGTCAGCGGCAACATCAGCAACTCACAGTGAACAGAACAGCAGCAACTTCAGCAACAGCAACATCCTTAACCGCACCAACAAAGACATGCGCATCAATAGCAGCATCCGCATCAAAAGCAAACAAATACGCCAACGTCAACAAAGGCAACCGCAAAAACAGCAGCAACACCCAACAGCAACAGCATCATCAACAGCAACAGCAGCAACATCAGCAACAGCATCAGTGGACAGCATCTACTCGCCAGCCAGTAGCAGCAGCAGCCGGCAGCAGCGGCAGCAAAATGTCACTCTGCTTTTTGAGGCCGGCACACCAGGTGTCATGGTGCTTTTGCCATGCACAGTCCGCGTGAAATTAAGTGAGCCTAAAGGCCCGTAGCGCAGACACCAGTAGCAAGGCGGCGCTCATGTCTTGGCAAACCCACGGAGAGTAGAGCCCGGAGACCGCACTCTTTTGCATCTGCAAACGACCCTTCGCTCCGGTTTGGTTCGCCGACATATGCCGCATGCATTTGCTGCACTGTCGACCGTTGGCTGCTACGAAGCTCTACGGGATGGACCCCTAGCTCTGTCTCCTGGTGGAGCCCCAGCAACCCTTGTCTCTTGCGTCTCTGATCAGCTCACACAAAGTGTGAGCTTCCATGCGTTTGAAAATCCTGCAGACGGCACCCTCTAAACTGTTTCATTTTCTGGGTGTCACCACAAACCTGCAAGTGATGCATGAAGCGATAAGCGGAATCCGATCCAAAAGAAAACCTACCCATTCCGCTTCAATGCTCACAGCAGGTGTGCAAAAAAACTAGCTTGGCTGCCAAGCTGCTTGAATTTCAGACTGCCCTACACAATACCGCCAAGGGAACTGCGATCGCCAAGCACGGAACGTCAAGCGTGTACGAGGGATTCGTATCAAGCAAGTTACTTCGAAACAACAACTCAATACGGCGCTATGGTCGCTCGCTAATGCAGCGTCAAAAGTGTAGGAGCAGTTATCTTGCAACATCTTGCCACCTTCTGCAGCAAGTCAGCGCTTCTGCCGCTGCGGGAAAGACTTCAAAAAGACTCACCTGCGTGGCTGAATTCCTGGACTTCAGCTAAGGCCAGCCTTCTCAAAGGAAAGGCCTGCCTAAATTCAAGCCACGCTGGATTGTTTGCTGTACAGTCGCTCAGTCCGAACTAGAGCTTGCATCCCAACGATGTTTTGTTGCCACAACCGCAAGCAAAACTCCCGCGCAGTTCGATCGCAACTGCGTGCTAAATTCTTGCAGCCGCAAGCGCCTCTCCGCAACAATCGCGGTGCACATCAATGTGTAGTTGCAACTAAAGTCAAAGTCGCAGATGCAGGCCTCGACATGGCCGCATAGGGCCAAGGGATGCAGCCCCAAACCTTGGCAGAATTGCGGCACGCTCTACTCAAGTTGCTTCCAAGACAAGAGAGTGCCGCCATGCAAAGCGTAGGAATCTGGCAAAGAAACAAATCAATAACATGGTCATGGGTCAAAAGCCCGTACCCCCGGTAAACATCCCAATCCCAACTAAAATAGACTAAAATGGGTGGTGCACCTACCCCAAAATTGGTTTTGATGCGCACCGGCTTGGCGAGGGCCACCCATGAATTGGGCGACGGTGCGCAATCAATCACCACGGCCCGCAACCGCGCCAATGTTTGCTGCAACTTCGAAACAAGTTCAGCCCAGCGACCCAAAGTCAAAACGGAAGAATATGATTCGTGCGAGGAATCTACAGAAACGCATTCAAGGCGGGACACGCGTTCCTGCGAATGTTACCTTGAAACAACAGTTTCAATGATTGCGGGCTGCCACTCGAGCAAGGCTCAGTTTTCCTAGCTCGGCTGGAAAGTTTCAATTATCCAGTACTAAAGTAGCATGCGAGTTCACAAAACGCAATTTCTTAGCCACAGCACGAAAGTTGCAACTTTTCAGTCGCGGAAATCACAGGTGTTCAGTACAACATGCTCTTTCGCATCCCACCTTCCCAACCACAGCTCAAGAGTCGTAACACGCGCGGTGCACAGAATAAACTTGCACAGGCCCAACTGAAGAGTCGCATCTTCTCAGCGCAAGCGCGTACGTATACAGAACAAACTGTTGCCTCAGCTCGAAGGCCACACCTTACGCAGAATACACTTTTGCTTGCAAGCTTCAAGGGATGGGTGTTGCTCCGGCCGGCCTTTCACTGTCTATCGGCGAATCGGGGGCTTGCACTGCTTTTCAAGTGCAAATCTGAGTCCGATATGCTACCACTGCCAAGTTCTGCTGAGAATGCGCAGCTTTTTTTCACTTGGGCGGAAGCACAGTTTTCAAACATAGGGAGACTCTCCTTCAACCAACTCTTTGTACAAACGCACAAGCTACATACAAGCTACTCTCCATCCGGAACCCTCAAAAGCCGAAACAAGGGTGTCGCTCCTCACGGCCCCCCATTCGCTCCAATAATGTTGACCCCGTAGTAGTATGTAACCCCCCCCCCTTGAAGGTCCCCCCCTAAATAATCTGGAAGTGAGTTTCAATTTAATTTAGTATTGCTGGAGCTTCCTTTTGAGATCTGCAGTCGAGTTTCCATTTGATTTAGTATTGCTGGAGCTTCCTTTTGAGATCTGGAATTGAGTGTCCAATTGATTTAGTATTGCTGGAGCTTCCTTTTGAGATCTGGAATTAAGTTTCCATTTGATTCAGTATTGCTGGAGCTTCCTTGTGAGATCTGCAATCGAGTTTCCATTTGATTTAGTATTGCTGGAGTTTCCATTTGATTTAGTATTGCTGGAGCTTCCTTTTGAGATCTGGAATTTAGTTTCCATTTGATTTAGTATTGCTGGAGCTTCCTTTTGAGATCTGGAATTTAGTTTCCATTTGATTTAGTATTGCTGGAGCTTCCTGTTGAGATCTGGAATTGAGTTTCAATTTCATTTAGTATTGCTGGAGCTTCCTTGTGAGATCTGGAATTGAGTTTCCATTTGATTTAGTATTGCTGGAGCTTCCCTTTGAGATCTGGAATTGAGTTTCCATTTGATTTAGTATTGAGAAGGCCTGGTTGTCTTTTTTTGGGGGGTGGGGCCGATGGACCGCACTAATTAGGGGGGGTTATTAATTGGGGGTGTAAGGGGCTGATGTGGGGTACCATTTGAAACCTTCTAAACTTGCTTTTTTTTTTAAGTAAAGGATTTAATAAGAAATCGGCCATCTCAGAACACTTTTTGTTTTGTGGCTTGGGCAGGCCCAAAAGCATCCACCGAGCTTCAAGATGAGAGTAGGAGGTGGAGATGAGAGCCCTAAGCAAGGCAGCAGCAGGAAGAGAAAGGTACCAGAAGAAAGCATGGCAGGACACCATCCAGAGAAAGCATGGCAAGCAGCATGAGTCCACAATCTTCAACAAGCAGTGGAGAAAATGAGATAGCAGCAGCCATCTGGGGGAGGGACCGGTTTAATTGGGGGGTTTTAGATCCTTTTTCTTATTTGGGGGGGTATTTTCTGAGTTATGACTTGTTTAGTATTGGGGGGGGTCACCCGGACCGGACTAATAGGGGGATTATTAATACGGGGTCAACATTACACACATGATTGAAGCATTTGTCATGTCATGGCAGCTGGCGGAATCTGCTGACCCCTCGGTTGTTGATGATTCAGCAGGTGGTTGCATCAGTTGCTTGAGCTTGCCGTCTGTATGGCTGGATGTCGTGCCTGAGGGTGCTGAGGGTGCTTCACAGGCGGCCTGTAGCGGCACTTTGGCTGTAGGGTTCGCTGTATCTTGAGACACGCGGCGCTCGCTGGTCATGTTTCCTCTCTAACGCCGCGCTGTGACGTTCGGGCTTGCTTTTCTGGCTACGCCTGCTGGCAGAGTGTCTGGGCGCGCGGACGCCCTGTTTTGGCGGTGCTTTGGTTGCGGGCCTGGATGCCGCCACGCTTGACAAGCATGCCTTGAACCAAAGTCGCTTCCTAAGACACGTGCTGCCGCGTCTAAACAAAGTTGAACCAAAAGGCGCTTCCCAAATCACGGGCACTGCCAAAAGGAAAGGTTGGTTTGTATGGGTTTGGGGACTGGTACAGGGTGAAGTTCGGGGTGGGATTTAATGTTTTTTTGTTTGAAGAAAGACTGCGATGGCTTTTGGATGGGTTCAGGTGCAATTTAGATCACTCGAGAAGGGAGATACGAAAGGTAGGATACCGCAAAAATTCCTTTAAACGAACGCCCCGAGACAAAGTCTAGAGACCAGCACCGTATAATTATGCTAGCCCGCTATGCAGCAGACGTGCACTGAGCGTCCCATATCAACTTCGGATCATGGTACCCCGTGACTTGACTGGGTGGACCGGACCGAATGTGAAGTGAAGCGAGCGAAAAGAGCGGCGAGAAGATCAGAAAAATTAGCAGAAGCTGGGCACCGCGGGGGGGGAGAGGCAAATGGTGCACCAGGAGGGAGTCGAAGAGGGGGGGGGGAAGGACAAACTCAAGCTAGCCTCCTATGGCTTAGTGTGCATTTTGCTCATCCTTCCTTTCTTTCTTGCTTTCTCCCCGCCCCTTTCTCACTCCGCCCGGCCTCCCTGTCATTTCTAGTCATTTCTCGTTAAGACATTCTCACACACACACACACACACTCCCAATGCAGCCAAGCAGCCTCATTTGGAGGTAAAACTTGTGAGCAACCCGAGGGGTGGCATTGGGGCAATCCAAAGCAAACCTCGGACGTGTGCTTCATTTGGGCTCGCAGAGCTGCCAATGAACCAAAACATACTGTTTAAAAAAAGGGATAGCTGATGACTTCCTTGTGCTCGGACAAATCCCACCTGAATCCAGCTAAGAAACCAGCTGTTGGCCGGCGATCTTCGCAATCCACCTTGAACTGAACCATGCTCTGTGATTGTTGCGCTGCTTCCCTTGCTAAGCACACTGTGTTTCGGGGTCAGGGACTGGGTCTTCGGCCCCGCTCCGCCTGCGTACGTGAGGCCGCCAAGCTCCAACACTCCGCCGCCAGTCGAGCGTGTAGATCGCAGTCCGCAACTTGGTCTTCCTTCGGATCTCTTATTAAAGCCGAAGGCTTTTGGGGCTGCCATTTTTGGGGCATGGTGCGCTGGGTGTCCAAAACCCTGTAATTATCCTGTGTTTTTGGGGCTTGCGTGCTAAACATCTGCGTTTCGCTAGGTCTCTAAGGGGGGGGGATCTGCATCCCCAGCATCATCAGGATTACCTTGCTGATGTTGGAATCGGCCTGGTTGGGGGTCTGGCTGGGGTCAAGCGCAGTGATACGTTGAGGAACTGTTTGAATTTCCGCAATTCCCCAACTGTACGGAGCAGCTACTGCGAAATATCCCCTGCATTATCGTATTGTTGGAAGTCTATTTTTTGGGTATTTGAGGGGGGGTTGCTAGTATCTGCCATTCCCGGCATCTCTGGTATTTTCTGTGTTTGGTCAATTTTGCGTGTCTGAAAGTCTTGAAATTGGATGCGAAGATCGGGTCTGTTCCTGTACGTTGTGTGGTTGCATCCCTTGCATTTCCAGCATCCTCAGCATCACTTCCATGAAAAAGTGAAAAAGGTCTTAAAATCCCTTGCACCCCACTGGCGTCGGCGGATTGCGTAGCGATTTCAATATCAAGTCAGCAAGTTGCTGGGCCTCACAACCTCGACAGTGGCATAGCACCTCAGAGCCGCAATGGCAGCTGCGGATTGGCCGAAATCAACAGTTCAAAGTGGCACCTTCTCTGGAAGCTTGCGCCCGAGCAGAAAGTCGCATCTGCGGCCTTTCCAAATTCTGACGCGAGTCGCATTGCCTGCAAAATCTAAGTTATATCAAAATCCCGCACTGTTAGCACAAGCCCCATAGCTCTCAGACATGTTGCGAGATGTTTCTTTCTCGGCCTTGCGCTGCACACAAAGTTGGGTGATGGCACATGGTACCTACCAGGAGCGATAGCTATGCCTCGAACCAACTGCGCGCGAATTCCTTCCAACTCGATTCGCCAGGCTCACTCGTTGCCAGTCCACTCCATGGCACCGGTAGCAATGTTGAAGCCTTGACAAAATGAAGGGAGTTTGGCATGAGCAGAACTTGTCCTTCAGCCCTTCCAAATTAGACAAGAATGTTTAGCCAGTGAAAGCCGGAATCGACAGTCAAGCAACCAACTCCAAGGTGATCCTCAGGGCAAAATGGCCAGTACGCCGATGGATTTCTAAAACAAAAGACAACTTTCAGGCAAATGTTGCAGCTGCGTGGCGGAAAACGGAGATCGTGTCCGAGTCCTGATTGGCCGAGATGAGCCACTGGCCTGGCGAAAGAGATATACAAAAGCCAAATACAAAGCCCCAACCGCGGAGTGCAACCAAAAACAACGAGGTGCGTGTAACTTGTTGGTGTTGCCTTTATGCCAGTGATAAACAATGTCCGTGCGCAAACATCGTTTCAGATAGATGAGACTCTCGAGCTGGTCGTAGCACCAACGATTCACGTTGGCCTGGTTGCACCCAACCCTGCATGATCATCGCCGCGTAGTCACGCGCGCATCAATTATCGCGCCACCTGCGTATCAAACTGCACGCCACTTTTCACGGTCACCTGTGCAGCAGGGAACACAGCAGCTTGGAAGGTAAGAAGAAGGTGAGGCCGGGGTGATAAGAGCACGCCCGCGCGTAATGGAAACGACAAGGTGAAATGGGGTAGTGGGGATGAAGGGAGGGACGGCAAGAACACTCTCACGGGCAGGCAGACCTCAAATGGCAGGGAAGGGGGATGGAAGGACAAGAATACTACAAGATGAAAGTGATTTGATATGGGGAAGGAGAAGCTCTGTCACGCGACCATTTGGAGACTCTGGGAAACGGTGACGTGCGCACGCGCAAGGTCCAGGTGGCCGTTCCACACAAGTGGCACCAATCGGTTTCCGCACAGTACCCCTTCCGGTTGCTTAGGAAGATGTCCAAGGGGACCATTGAACACAGTCTGGCGCGAATCACTTTTGGGAGAGATGTAGCAACCGGTTGAACATTCCCGGCCTGAGCTGTCAAACTGGAAGTGCCGTGGGGTGGCCCCACGAGTGTGCTGAAGGTGCCTCGCGACACGGACTCTCGACCCGGGCCCTAAACTTCGAGAATCTATACCCTTCCCACTCACATAGCATTGTGGGGCCTCTTACCCCAAGAAAAGCTGCCATATTTGGTATCCAAAAGCTTGTACGCTCTAAGGCCCGGTCGCCAAAGAAAGCAAGCCTTGACTTCCCAGCTCATGATGGACTCTGAAGATAGTGATGCTGTTGTGTCCTGCGCCCGTTTGCAACCAGCGTCTCTGTCTGCAAACATGAGGGCCAGTTGCATGCAAAAAAAAGCCTGCAATGTAAAGGCACGGTTGTGGCGCTGATGCAATGGATCGGTATGATGCCCCTTTCCGATGGGATCACACAACGACGCTGGCAACAAAAAGAGGCATCTTTCGCCTGTTCGATGAGCTTTCAAACAGCTTGCGGCAGGCGCATCCACGCATTTTTCACACAACGCACAAGTCCCGAACATACATTGTAGGGTGACTTGGAGGAGAGCCTCAATGGCGCAGCAACTGAGTGGCTGCGCCAGCTCACATATTAGTTTGTCAGAGAAAAATAAGTAAGGGGGGCAAAAGACTAAAAAGAAATCACAAATAGCACAACAGTTTGCAAATACAAACAAGGAGACAGGGAGACCACAATTGGAAGTCCGTCACGCAAACAAGCGACGGGATTATCTCGCCGGGCGAAAGCAAGGGCGGCCAAGCTACAAAGACCAAAGTTCTAGGGGTAACTTCCCCATTCTTTCCAGGGATCCTTCTTCCTAGAAAACCACCAAAAACCCTGGAAATGGCTGGTTGTTGAAAAGAACGATGGCTGAAAAGAATCGGGAATCAACCTTTGGAAAAGTGAACTTTGCCCGCGCGGCTGAAAAAAACTAACCTGGAGGGGCGCCCGAGCGAACACGCCTGGGCTCAGTCTGACCCGCGCTTCCGCTGCCGTGTTTGTGCGCTCCAAGTTCGAGAGCACTTCGGCTCTCTGGAAACTGAGGCATTTGGAGACTGGGGGAGGAAAGTTATCAAAAAAAAACAAACCTAAGTCAAACATGAGCCAAAATGACAAGTGGCCATTTTGGAACCATATCGCGTACACACTACCGCAAGCTACCACTTGTCAGGATACAAGCCAAATTCATGAAAGTCCTCGGTTGGACACCAGCACAAAGTGGCCGGACTTGTGCACCTGAAAAAAAAGCTGCTGATGGCACTGCCGAGGCACACTTTCTAAGGTTTGCACTGTGATCCGACCACATGTGTTCATGTCACCGGGCCAGGCATCTGGAATCGTCCTCACCTGAGATCAAATGTAAAGGCTGCACAGAGACACTTGAGTGCTCATTTAAACGGCTTTGACTTGTGGTTGCGAAGGGTTTTTAGGCCTTCACAATCATCGCTAATTAACAACAAACAGACCCTGTAAGTTAGCCAGAGTCTATAGAGGATTTGGCGCTCACTTGGCAGCGGGCAGTCTGCACCAGGCGCAGAGTGGACTCTTCTTTAGAAGGATCCGAGCCTTGGCTTGCAAAGTAAATGCCTCATCCTGTGCGAGCACACCTCAATATGATGGCTGCAGAACACAAAGCAGCAATTGAGCTGCGTGCTGCTCAGAAGACGTTCTGCTGCTTGGTGATCGAACTGAAAGACAGACACCTTTACACAGGTTCTTCCAGACTAAGATCTAAGCAACTTCGCTGAAGCTAAGTTACGGCTTTGCCTCAAAAATGCTCGGCTTTTCTGGGTCCGTCTCGGGGGAGCCCCGGTTTCCTTTTGAAACCCAGAGGCCCAGAGGCCCAGAGGCCCAAAAGGCTCGCGCTCGCGCCGCGGCGCCTCGGAGGAGAGCTCGTTGACGACGTACGCGAAGGGCAGCGTGGGGTGGAACCTCGCTGGGTCTGAAAGGTATAGCTTGTTTTTGTGTGGCCGGTGGCCGGTGGCCAGTGGCTGGTGGCCGGGGGCCGGTGGCCGGTGGCCGGTGGCCGGTGGCCGGTGGCCGGGGGCCGGGGGCCAGGGGCCGGTGGCCGGTGGCCGGTGGCCGGTGGCCGGTGGCCGGTGGCCGGTGGCCGGTGGCTGGTGGCCGGTGGCCGGGGGCCGGTGGCCGGTGGCCGGTGGCCGGTGGCCGGCGGGTGGTTGCCGGTGGCTGGCTGCCGGGAAAATTGCGGCGCGAGAATGTTGCTCGTGCTATGTGTCTGGCGGCCAACAAGCTGGCCAAGAAGGCAGAAGACTGACACGACACGCCAACAAGCTGGCCAAGACGCTGTGTTTTAAGCGGCAGCGTGCGGCGTTAGCTGCTCGCATGGCCAGCAATCTGGCTCGCGTTGTTGGGCAGACATTTCAGAATGCCTTCTGACATGCTCAACAAGCTGGCCAGCGTGCTCTGGCGTGCGACATGACATGGCCAACCAAAAAAGTAGCGGCGACTCAACAATCTTGTAACAGCAAGCCGCATTGACCGACTCTATGTGCCTGCTGGTTCTGGAGCATGGGTCATCAGCGACGTCGAGCTGGTTCAACCCATATCAACCCAAAATGAAGAAACGATGCAAAAACTTGTGCTAAGTGAAGCACCGATGTAGACGGGGGTGTGGACATACTGCCCATCACACCCCATCGCTCCAGAGGCGGAATCTCCCACGTTTGTGTGGGCCAGGGAGTGGCTGGGTGGGAGCGAAACATTTTTGATCCTTCTTGCCAAAGTGGCCATCGCGACGCATGCATCTTTCATGCAACCTGCTGTCGGTGGTCATGACAGCTGCAGGTCTGTCAAAGGCAAGGTTGGCTTGGTTATCCAAAACAAACCAAGTACAAACCAGAGGGTCATAGCTCGAATTTGTTATATTCGTAACACAAGTGTTAACCGCAACAGGTCATTGGCTGGACGGAATTTCGTGAGCAGGCAAGCAAAGCAGGCGCAGACGGCCGCAGTTATTTCTTGCGGTGTTCGAGCTTCAAGCGTCAGCGTCGGCCAGTGGGTGGCGTGGCAGGCTGGGGAGCTTCCGCTGCGGCATCGTCTGCTGCAGCCTCCTCCTCTGGAGCTTCGTCGCCGTGTTCGCCTCTGCCTGCGCTGCGGTCATGCCACAGCGCCCGCCTCTTTGCAATTTCCCGAATGGACACTCGACAGCACCTCATTGCTTCATTGTGGAACAGCAGCTGGTTGGTCGTGCTGGCAGACCACCCACGAAGGAGCACAGTAGTCTCGGAGCCACGCTTGGTCACATTGACTTGGCCAAGCCGAGGAAAAAGAGAGAAAGCTTTCTGGCCTGTAGAAGCTTTGCTTGAGGTGGCCGTATTTTCCGGCGCTTGCTGCCCTGCACTTCCAGGAGATGGTAGACGTCCACGGCCTTTGAGAGCGTGACCTCACTGCGCCCCGCCAGAAGCAACTTGCTCATGAAGGCTCGATCTTGCATCTTACCTGGCAAAATCATGGCGCCGTTCTCCCCGAAACCTGCGGCGAAGAAGGCTTCAGCAGGCTGCAGATCTGAGGGGCGTAAAGGCTGTGGAGGCTCGGCCTCTTCAGGCTGGTCTGCAACCTGTAGGGACCAGGACTCTGGAAGAGGAACAGGGACGTGCTCGTCATGTTGGAGCGGCTCTTCTGCGCGGGGCTGCGCGACTGTTGGCAACTGAGTGGCTGCTGGTGGCGCGAAGCGCCGCTGCGGAGCTGGGACTTCAACAGGCTTGAATAGCCCACCGTCGGACTCGGAACTCTCTGCCGTCGCTGCGTCCACTGGACCGCGCAGCACCTCCCGGATCTGCAAGCTAAGCTCGACCAGCCTGGACGCCACCTGCGCAAAAGGACAGGCGTTGCTTGAGTGCCCAACAAGCTGGCCTGGCGCAGGGCCCGCAACAAGTGTGAGTGCATGGTGGAGCAGAAAGGAACATAACGGTTTGGGCAAAAGAGTGACGCATGGAGGAGCAAAATGATGCAGTTGGCCTGGCCTGCACGTGGTCCTCAGTAACTTGCAACTGGCCACTCTCGTCAAAAGAACCTCCTCCAGCAGCCAATTCCAGAATTGCCACCGCTGCGCTCATCATACCTTCCTGGTGAGCCGCGTTGGCGTGCAAGGCCTCCATGGAAGCTTGGCCATCCTTGTTGGTAGCCCGGATGGATTGCGCCACTTGGTTGCCTGCAGGGCTGCGAAATAACACAACCGCAGGGTGGCATGTCACAGCACTTGCATGACACGACAACAGAGCAACTTGCTGTTGCGGTCCGACTTTTAACCTCCCCAATGCAAATTTGACAAGGCACCGACCAACAGCTTCTGCGCACCATCTGTCAGCTCCAGCGTCTTGTGCGGCCGCTTGGCAAAATACTCGCAGACCCGTCGGGCACCGGCTTGTATGTGTTCTGTCTGGTCACGAACTTGCCATCGTCCACTGATTCGCCACTCTGTGCGAACAGCCTTGCGCAGACCTGAGAGGTCACAGTGGGGCGGGAGTTGAACATGTGGCTGAGAGTGTGTGGAAACCGTCACAACGACACAAGACTAGCGCATGAGGGGAACCTGCTCGAGTGTTTCAAAGCAAAAGAAGTAGGGAAGGCCCTGGCCAACACGCTGGCCCCACCAGGCTACTGAAGAAGAACGTGAACGTGACAAAACTGACTTTGAATGGGTTTTGGCTTGCGACCCAACTGCCTGTCAAGATGAAGTGTGAACTATTTCAGGCTGCTTGGCTGCAACTGAAGGGCCTGCAGGAGCGGGAGCAGAGTCGTACACGTACCGGATGCGAGAGCGAACACCATTGGGCAAAACTGCAGGGAAGCCTTCATCGCCTTCTTCAATATTCTCGAGCCCTGGCTCCTGGCCCTCGAAATGTCCTGGGTTGTTGAGAATGCCGGTCCAGCCGAAGATAGCAGCTTGGAGCGGCGTGAGCGGCAGCCACGTCCACGCCGGCAAGGAGTCATCTGCGGCGAGCATGTCAGGGGACAAGCTCTCGTGCCTGGGGACGCTCACATCCACACAGAGAAGGAAGCGCTCTTTCGTGGCTGCTGTGTGTTGGCCTTCCAAGTTCCGCTCCATCGGTATGAGCTTGCCAGGGTGCCCGTTACCAAGGAAGGAGAGGCTTACGCGCTGTGTCCTGGAGGCCTCGTATGAAGTAGACGTTCTCGTGGCTCTCTTGGTTTTGCCCCGAGCAAGCAGCGTGTTGAGGGTGCTGGCATGGGCGTTCACGGATGAGTCCTTGGCCTTGTCACCTCTGGAACCCAACAATGACAAGCTCTCCAAGAACTCATAGGCCTCGTCCAAGTTGAAGGCCTGGCCAAACCAAAGACGTAGAGCCGCCTTCTCCTTCTTGTTGCATCCACCGTGAATCTCGACCTGGGGAAAGTCGGCGCTGCACTTGTAGAAGAGCTCTGTCATGGTGAAGCTTTGAAGACACATGCTCTTGGTTTGCACAGACACATCTGGCAAAGGTTGCTCGCCCACGCCTTCTGCTCTCACTCGCTGAGCGACCTTGGCTGCTTCTTCCTTGGCCATGACCTCAACGAAGTCGTCCGCAGTCTCAAACATCAGTTCGACAGCCTGGAAGAGACGGGACTTCCCCCTTTGCGCGGAAGAACCATCAAAGCCAAAGAGGATGGTTTCTGCCACAACTTGACGCTGGCCCTGTTGCTCAAGGCAGGCATGGACCCGAGAAAGAGCAGTACGGTGGCGCACAGCCCTTGGCACGTAGAAGTGGCAATCGGCAGGAGGAAGTCATACAAAGCTTTGGGCAGGTGGTCCGCAGCGTGAAAGTTGTCCTGCACGACATCCAGAGCCGCGCGGAAGAGACGGTCGATGTTCTTCTCTGCAAGCGCATCGTTGCTGTGAGGCGGCATGGCAGGCACTGGTGCCTAATTTGCAGACTTGCGTGGCGTCCTATACAACTGGACCGCGCTGTGGCAAAGCTGCTTGCTGCTGTGTGTTGGCATGTTCGCACAAATGCCCGGCCTCAAGCCGGGCAACCGCTTGAGGAGAACAGCGTTTGCAGCGCACTCTGCAAGCAATAGCAGAGCAAGAGAGACGCGCCAAGGACAATGACCAACAAGCTGGCCAATTCTCGCCGCTTTGTGCTGTCGGACAGAGGCCAAGAACCTAGACACTCAACTTCACTGAAGCACACGCGCGACCAACGAGCTGGCCACAGCAGCCTTTTTGACATGGGAAGCAGCTTGCGTCTTGCAAGCGACGGCGTTGAGCTCAGGAATCCGCCTGCCTGTCGCCAGCGCTTGCCTCTTGCGCTTCTTGTCGGCCACACGGCGCTTGTCGCCTAGCGCCTGTAGCCGAGTCATGTTGCGCACATCAGCGCACTCTTGCGTGACAAGCTGAGCAAACCATGGACTGTAGTGGTGAAAGCAGTCGCCTAAAGGACTGAATTGGGCGTTTACGGACTCAGCAATCTCAGTTGGGAAGCCTTTCAGGATATCCTTGTTCTGCTGCAAGCTGGGCAGGCAAGTTGTCTTGCACCACTCCCCACAGTGGCCCCCGCTGTGGAAGTCGTCGATGATGAAATTCAGGTCAGCCAGCTTGCCCGCCATGACCGACGTCCGCCGCTCCTTGAGGCACATGCTCTTGAGGTGACGGCTTCATCGTGAACCATGGTCTGCAAGCGTGGGAGTCGGTGAGCCACCTGCGCTGCAAAGTGGTACCCCTGCGACAAACTCTCTGCACCAATGATCTCGAGCATGTCAGATATTAGGCCAGACTCCGAAACAGCAAGAAGGTAGCCAGCACTCCGAGCAGCTGCGTGGGCCTCCTTTGGCGACTCCTTGTGCGTGTTGCAAGAGCTCCTGCGTTTCGCGTGAGCGGCTAAGGGGCTGCAAAAATGCTTTGGAGGCGTTAGCTCTTAGCTTTGGGCGCAAGACACAGCCATTCTTTGCCAAAAAGAAACTGTTGCCGAGGAGCTGTTGCTTTGGCCCAGCAGAATGCCAAGAAGCCAGAAATGAGCGCCGAGGGCGCGGCCGCATGCCGGTCCACTTCTGCTTGCGGGCCTGCACCCTTCTCTCACGGCGCCTGCGTATGTTGGCATCAGCTTGGCGGGCAAAGATTTGCACTTCAAAGTGACAGACGTCGCTATCCTCGAAGGCGATGATGAGAAACTTGCGAGGATGGGTCAAGCGGGGGAAGTTGCTTGTCCCGCGCAGCTGCATGTTGCTTGCAGAGAGTGTCCTTGCCATGTGGGCGGGAGCTGCACCCACGCAGCAGCAGCTTACGCAGATGTGGGCTTGGCACAACTTCGGCGAACGGCATGCCGCAGGTTCGCCTGTGCAACTTGGCGTTGCCATCGATGGCCAAGATGTCTGCCCGATCTCCAGAAGAATCCAGCTGAGCAAGTCGCCTGCCAGGCAAGGCGGTTGCAGGCTCTGGCTTTCACAGCAAGTGCCCCTGTGTTCGCCCATTACTCGTTACATAGAAAGCGCACAAGAAACACGGCACATGTGTGCAACAGAAGGCTGGCGAGTTGCGTCAGCTGCAAAGCAAGTCCCCATTGCAAGTTGCCAAAAATGGGCCTGGTCGAGACCTAGGTTCCTGCAAAATGTACAAGCGTAGCCCGCAAACAACAACAGCAGTTGCCCCCGTGGCACATGTCCGACCGCTATACAAAAGGGGTTCCGACACGAAAGTTTCAGACACAGACTTGTCTGTAATCTGCAGGGCTGAAAGCGGTAGCTTGAGAGGAAACCCTGTCCGCGCCTTGAGAACATCAGAGGCTCACACCATTTCCAAGCTCCAGCTATGAGCGCCTCCAAAGGACCATTCAAAGCCTGCTTGTGGACTCGTTCACCCCGGCCTCAACGGCACGGCGACACAAGATTTCACGGGCCCAAAGTTGGCGAAGCTGCTCCCGAAGACGAAGCCGAACATGAGCTTGCAGCAGTCGCAGCAAGGTGGCCTCTGCTTGAAAACTCGCCCTCTGCAAGTAGAGGCGGTAGCGCCATCTGCGGAGCCAACTGCGAGCTATCCCGTTGGGAGCTGACAGAAAAAAGTATTTGGCGTTGGGGCAATCCACCTGCTTGCGCTTACGACCCCATTTGCCAATCTGCGGCTGGAAGAAGGTGACGAAGCCACACCAGTATGTAGCCCTTCGGCAAGCACGAGGACAAGCTCGGGACAGGTGCCAGGTCACAAAGCTGTCAGGCTCGGCGATGACATGGGCTTGAACAGAGCCTCGTGCGCCAGCCTTTGCCTGGAGCAAGGGAGAGCGACAATGTGGACACACTGTTCTCCCCGAGGTCAAAGTCAAGGCCCAGGCATCGCCCATGTGCGCAGATCGGGTCTGGAGAAGAACAAAGCTGAACTGTGTCACTGCGTTGTGGGGCACACCCTGCTCGAAAAAAACTGCTCATGCTGGTACGTGCAATGTTCTCGGGCGCGGGAGTTGGCTAGACAAAGGCTAGCTGACACGCACAACAAGCTCAGCACGTGCACAAAAACGCTTGCTGACACCCATCACAAGCTCACCGTGCAACTAGCCTGCCATGGGAAGGATGGCAAAGCTTCCTGGGTGGACGGCAAGCCAGCAAGCTTGCCTTCAGCTGAGGCAGCGCAAGATTTGTGCTAGTAAGCTGGCCCTTACAGAAATGCAAGTCAGAACTTGAAGGGAACGAGCTGGCAGTGAGCAGGCTCTCGGCTTGCGTTGCGTGAGCAAAGAGCTGGCCTTTGCAAGATGGCATGCTGAAGAGGGAGGTGGCCGGCGCCGGGGGCCGGTGGCCGGTGGCCGGTGGCTGGTGGCCGGTGGCTGGTGGCTGGTGGCGGGTGGCCGGTGGCCGGGAGCCGGTGGCCGGTGGCCGGTGGCCGGGGGCCGGTGGCCGGTGGGAGGTCGGTGGCCGGGGGTCGGGGGCCGGTGGCCGGTGGCCGGTGGCCGTGGCCGGTGGCCGGTGGCCGGTGGCCGGTGGCCGGTGGCCGGTGGCCGGTGGCCGGTGGCCGGTGGCCGGCGGCTAAAAAAGACTATTGTGTGAAATGCCGCGGCGCGTCTTTTCTGAGGCAGGCGCTCAATGTACCGCGGGCCCAGGGACTTGCTCTCGGGGCCAGACCTCGAGCGCCCAAAAACATGGCGGTCGAACGGTGTTCCCTTTGGTGGCTTCCTTGTAAAACCAAAAAACACGATGCCCTCAAGAGACACGGCCAAATCAGCTTTACAGTTTGAGCCGCATCTCTTGGCCTTCGATTGCCAAACCACTCCACAAGCGACGCGAACTCTTCGCAACGCCTGCAGGTGCCAGCAGCTTCCAAAGTACCGCTCTGCGGATTGAACCTGCAAGCCAGTCAGTTCAGCTTGGAGCTGCAAAGAGCTGCTGGAAATAGCAACTTGTCTTGTGAGTGTTCAGTGATCCCCAAAATCGACCGCATTCCCCAAGAAACATCCCATGTGGTTGCCACTCAGACTGGCTTCTGACTTGCCAAAGGCCTTATGGACAAGTGGTCATGACTAGCAACGACAAGGCCCAAACATATCCATGTTGGACAATGACAGGTCAGTGATCTGGCAACTCGTTGGTTTGTCAATCTCAGAGGTCTTGGAAGCTCGCCTGAACTGCCTGATCAGGTCCATGCCTCGGCCACGTTCTTTTAGTGCGACCCTGAAACTGCCACCGGAAGTGCGGTAAGCTCGCCGCCCAGGTCAGGAACATACGCAATCTTGCCAAAGTACCTCACGGCTCATACTTATGAAACAAGACCTTTTTTGTTCACCGTGACAGGGGAAAGAAAAAGGCAACAATTTCTGATCGGCTTGAAGCACCAGTGCAACTCAAAACTTCGCTGTGGCTCACGGATCCAAAATGACTGCGTGTGAGTGCCTTAGAACCACGAGTTGGAATGGAGAAAATCGCACGGGCTCAGAAGCCAGCGGGTCGCTTTGCCTCTCCTTCTGTGCGTGTGTGTCATTCTCGGAGTGGTTCACATGCTTGGTGTAGCTGACCTGCAAGCTACAAGGATCACTCTCAGTAACTCGGGCACCGCAAGAAGCAACATGCAACCACATTCAATCTTACAGAATCCGGTAGACACAAAAACACATTCCACAAATCCCACTTATGCAAGGCGGCCACACCTTCATACCCTTGCCGCTGTTTGGATCGTAGACGCTCTTGGCTTCACCAACCACGCCAGAGTCGGAATCGATGCCTCACTAAGCCCAAGGATTCGCTGACTTCAACTGGGTATGGGTCAACATTGAACTACTAGGGGACAGCAGGTTTCAGTCCTTGGTTCCATCCGCCAGGGTCCCATTTTGGCGTTACCCGACTTTGACCCACAGCCAACTCGCTTCCGCATTCAGGCAAAACGCCCTAGCCGAGGCTGCCACCAAACACGCCAATGGTGGCATTCCAGTAGTTCACAACCAGCATGTTCTTGCTCTCCTCACAGGTTCTATGTCACACGCGTTTTGATTTGTGTGTCGTCTATGTGCAAATCCTTGATGTTCAAAGAATTGATGTAAATGCATTTTTGCAGCAATGCTAGACTTAACACGGGTGCTCGATGACAGCAATACCCCGCCAAATGCCGCGTGAATACCTTCACGGAAAAGACTGACTTGTTCATTGGACACCTCAAGTTCTGCTGCGCTGCTCTTCCATTGGGTTGAGAATCCTAATACTTAGTCAAAGCGGCTGGATATGGCTGTGCCGGAAAGGTCGCAAAGCCTCACTACGCAGTTGCGCCTTGTCCAAGGTCAGGTAGCACGTGGAGGTGCCTCCAGCACATTGGCCTGTGTCGGGCAACGAGTAGGCAACCGAGCCAATGTAGTGATGTTGGTGCTACGCCTGTTTCGGCTGGTGCCAGTTCTGGCTATGCTACTTAGTGCTTCCACTAACTTTGACTCATGACTCTCAAACTCAGGCGATGGCATCCAAGCTTGACAAGCTTCCCAGTGCGTGGATCTACGGAGTATGTGACCTGAAGTGCTGGATTGACAAACCCAAGTTGCTCCAAATACGACTTTGTAGTCCAAAACTGCAACAAGTCAAATGGACAGACGAGGCACAATCTCTCCTGGCTCCGCCACAGACTCGGTGCATGTATACAAAAGGTTCCTGGCAGCGCACACTGCGGTTATCAGGTTTTCGAGGTCCTGTTTTGCTGTGCATTTCTGGATTAAGGCAACTTTTAGCATGTTGGCAAACACACAAAGTATCCAAGTAGATGAATGGGCGCGTGCATCATGGCTGCAAGCAGATATGGAAAACGCAAACTGAGATTACGGGGTCTTGCCTCTGTGAGTCGAAGCGTGAGAAAGCCGGGTTCATGACCTAGGGCCGCGAAAGTGCTCCGTTGCAACACAAACCGAATCGGACTACTGCGGTCGCGGGCCTTCGATGCGACAGTTGGCTTGGCCACCCTTCGTAATAAATTTACGGCTGCTGCCGCTACTACTGTTGTCGTCGTTGTCGCCGTCGTTGTTGCGGTCGTTGTCGTCGTCGTCGGGCTTGGCTGCTCGATGCAGGAGACTGGTTTTTGCTCGCCAGTAGTCGTGGTTGGCTGTCAGAAGCTGTTGTTGGTAGTGGGTTCTTGGTCGTTGTGTTGTTGAGCATTGGTCAACGGATGCTGGTTGTCGGTTGTTGGTTTTGCGGCCGTTGTTGCGACGGAGTTACTGCGGCCGCTGTTGCTGCTGCTGCTCTTCTTGTTGCTGTTGCTGTTAGCGTTGTTCGCGCTGCTGTTTCTACTGGCGGAGCTGCTGGTGATGTTTTCCATGTTCATCTTCTTGTTTTTGCTTTTGTTGTTTGGCGGCGCCGGTGGCGGCGGTTTCCTTGCCAGTGTTGTTTTTGTTGTCTTTGGCGTTAGCATTTGTTCGCTGCGTTGCGGTTTGCTGCGCGTACATGCGTTTCGTTGCTGTTGCTTTGCTGTTCCTCGCCTGACTGCTTGCTTGCTCTCTCGCTTGCTTGATTGCTTGCTTGCTTGCTTGCTTGCGCGCCTGCTAGTTCCCTGCTCGCTTGCTCGATTGTTTCTTGATTTGAGTTTGTGCGTTTGTATGAGTTTGTGCGTTCGCTGGTTGGCTGGCTGGCTGGCTTCCTTTGTTCTTTCGCTCTCTCAGTCTCTTGCTTTCTTGCTTTCTCTCTCTCTGGCTCTGTCCTTCCTTTCTTCCTTCCTTTCTTCTATCTTTTTGTTCTTCCTTTCTGTCTTTCTCTTCTTTCTCTCTTTCTTTTCTTTCTTTCTCTCCTTCCTTCCTTCCTTCCTTCCTTCCTTCCTTCCTTCCTTCCTTCCTTCCTTCCTTCCTTCCTTTCTCCCTTTCTCCCTTTCTTCATGTCTTTCTCGCTCGCTTTCTTTTCCTTCTTTCCTTCCTGTCCTGCTTTCTTTGCTTGTTTTTCTTTTATTTGTTTTCTTGCTGTCTTCTCCATTCTTTTTTCTTTCTCGCCGGCTTGTCTTCCTTGTTTTTGCCGTGTTTTTCTTGTCGTTTTTTTCGCCCTCCGTGTGAAGTGGATGTTGGTACCCCCAAACAGTCCGTGACAGTGCTCAGGCGGCGCTCTCGCTTTGGCGGCACGCTCGCTGCGCTACGCCACTGGACGGATAATCCTTACGCGCACGCCATTATGCGCATGGCTATCCTATATTGCCAAAAGGGACTCATGAGGCTGTGGGACAGTAAAGCCGGACGCAAAAGTTCTTTGCATGGAAGCACGTTGGCCTCGTGGCATGGAAAAAACATGAAACCTGGCAAAGGGGTAAGCCTGTTAAACCACCTTGGCTGAAGCTTGATCAAGCTGTGCCTGGCGCGTCCTGCGCGTTGACCAAGTCAGAGAGGTCTTGACCAAACGGCACTCGCAGTCACCCGGAATGGCGTTTGCCAGCCCAGGCGTGGCTCTTGTCGCGCTGTCCGCTGCTGCGCCTGCTCTTGTGGGTTCTCAACAGTCGCAGTCGTCGCCACAAGCGCGTGGCGCCCGTGACCGTCGCCGTAACGCTGCAATCGGCCACTGGTCAAGGCCGATCGACTATCTTCTGGCAACTCGTGAACAACTAGCGGGAGACACGTAAAAGTGAGAAGCTGAAACTGCAACATTACACTGATAAAAACTGACTAAATTGCAAGCGCCACTTAAATCCCTATCTGCGCTTCTACGAACTGCTGCAAGATCTCTTCCTTCCGCAGCGTGGCCTGCGGCCTCAATAGCTCCCTGTCTGCACCGAACGGCGGCAACACATATCAAAGAACCTAGCTGAACTGCTGACTGAACACGTGAATGTCGATTCTTTGCCCCTGGCAAGTGCAATTACAGTATTTCCCAAAAGCAATCCGTCCGCAAGCCACGCCGCACGTACTTTCGGTCTTGCAGCAGATAACTTGCGCGGATAACATCGCCGGCTGGCTGCGCGCTGGCAATCAGAAATTCTTCCAGACTGAGACCAGTTTGCGTTGAGTTCTGATGGCTTGAGACAACTGCCCTCCTGCGTTGCCACACCCAGCCACATGTTCTTGAGGCGATGGTCGTGTGACTTGCGTCGGCACACTACGAGAGCAGATGCTGCGACTACTTGCTCTGGGGAACATGAGCCAATTGAGGAAAACTTCTCTTATCAGTCGAGGCGCATTGTAGCAAAATTTGATATGGCCTATCTGTTCCAAAAACCGAAGAGCACCTTTCTGAGGCAGACCTCTTTCTCTAGAAGCGGGTCAATCGAGGAAGACGTCTCTTCACCTAGAACTTTTTTGGGGGGGTGTCTGCGGACTGGCTGGAAGTGACATGCACCACAGCAGCGCAGTTGGATCAAGCCATCAGACCTCAACACTGACAAGATTCTGCAAACAGCGCCTTGCGCTGGCCAGCGTGGTCTCGGTCTGGGCTTGTCTGATTGCCAGCACACAGCCAGGCGGCAATGCTATCCGCGCAGTTAAGCGGCAGCGCGCTGCAAAACCGAAAATGCGTCACGCACGGCGCGGCTCACACTTGGCTTGACTGACATATTGTACTTCCGCTTGCGCAGATCTCACCCAGGTTCACGTGTCCGGTGGCTAAGCCGATGACATAGGCAACCTCAGGAAACGCAAGGCGCGCGTCATGTCCCTGTCACCATCACGCGCAGTTGCCTTACTTGACCATTGGCTTGTCACATGGATGAACCAGGCGCATGCTCTGGGCTGTCCACACGTACACAGGGAGCTATTGAGGAAGCGCAAATAGGGATTTAAGTGGCGACGCGTGGCTTGCAAGCCAGTCAGCTTTTGGCAGTCTAATCGTATCCCCCGCTAGTTGTTCACGAGTTGCCAGAAGATAGTCGGTCAGCTATGACCAGTGGCCGATTGCAGCGTTGCGGCGAAGGTCATGGGCGCAACGCGCTTGGCGACGATTGCGACTGTCGAGCCCACAAGAGCAGGCGCAGCAGCGGACACCGCGACAAGAGCCATTGGATGCGCTGGCAACATCCTTTCTCCCCGCTCAGCATCCCACAATCAAGCCTGTCCGTCGCCCCATCCGTGCCCTTTCCGGCCATCGTCAAAACTGTCCGTCGCGCATCAGTCACCCGTGCCCGTTCAGCCCTCCATCATTGTCAACATTGTTCGACACGCTGGCTATCTTGGTCGCACTCACTCGTCACGCTCCCTGTCGCCCTAACCTGTCATGCACACTCACCGCCACAATGTTGCCGCAACTCTCTGTCAAGAACCCTTTGGAGAACCTCAAAGCCCACCTGACACACGTCTTGGACGTAGATAAGGTATGCACTCACCTCACTGGCAAGTAATACAATGGCACGGAAGCCGATACACCAATGAGTGCAAATTGGCGGTCAGTGAAGCTGCAGTTCTCTCCGAGAAACGCTTTCGTAAACTGGCACTGCGTAGCACAGCGCCGGTGTGTGTTGTGGATGTGTCTCTGTGTGTTTGCTGTGATAGTTGGCAGGTTTACGTTCCAAAACCAGTTGCATTCTTGTCTGTTGTATACAGGCCATTTCACTAGGCTCTGTGGCTCGTTGAGTTGTTCAAGCTTAGATTACGCCCGAACAATGCCTTGTAGTGTATAGGCGGCTGGTTACGTCAAGGAAAGTCGCGTAGTATTTTCAGGTTTCCGTGAGCCACAGCAAGCTCCGCCAGGCCTGTGAATCGCAACAGCCACTTGGCGGCATTGGAACAATGGCACCGCTCACCTGTGTGCTCTGAGGCTGGAGCGCTATCATCTGTTGTGACGGAAAATAAGACCAGCTCCCTGGGCAAAGGCGAAAGAAACATCGCCGACGCTTGCGACCAGTGGTAAAAACTTGAAGGTCTACCCATCGTTCTTGTCCAGGCAGAAAGTGTAGAGGCTCCTTCTGGCCTGACAGGTTCATGTCGCGCCGCCACGCTTTTGGCAGGCCCTTGACCTCTGTGCCACGTGGCCCGTGGGCAAGATTATCCTGAAGCTTCGTAGGTTCACTGGAGCTCAATCTGGCAAACACAGAGTAAAGACAAGTCGTCAAGACATGGTAGGCTGGCAAAGCGAGTGTAGCAAGAGACTATGATGAGCTCGTGCGCAGCCGGCATGACCACCCTCGGGCTGCCGTTGTGAGTCTAAAAGCAGCTCATGCCGGTGTTCAATTCAAAACGCCAGCCTCTTACTGTGGCATGCTTGAGGCAACGTTTGCACGCAATGAGCACAACCTGGTGTGCTACTTAGAAGCCCAAACACTTCAGCAACTGCTCTGAACTTACCGGACACACAAAAACAAAAGGCGGTAAGCGCAAGCCGATAGTACCAACGAAGGCGCTCCAGGCCAAAGTCCGCCGACCCCTTGTCTGCAAGGGCAGGGAGCACGGGAAGGGCGGTGGTCATAATCATAATTATTCCTGCTGGGTCCTCATCATCGGTGCTATTATCATCAGCACCATCATCATTGCTATCCTGGTTCTTGTCACCAGCATAATTTCAAAGTCCACAAGATGTGCAAGAAATCTATCTGAGGTGCGGCTTGCGACGCAGCACGATCATTCATCACCATCATCCTCATCATCATCATCATCATCATCATGCTCCTCATCATCATCGTGGTTATCATCATCGTCCCTCACAATGCCAGCACTCCTATGATGATGGCAATCACCGGAAACATCGTTATCATTATAATTATCCTCATCTGGTTATCATCAGTCAGCCTGCGCCAGTTGCAACGCAAGGGATGCCGTGATGATAGATATGATCATAATCACTGTCCTAGTCAGGCATCATTATCTGTCTTATCTTTCTTATAGGCACATTTCACATGTGACCTTAGGCCCCACTTGCAACTCAAGCGATGCCATGATTATACATGTCATGAAAGTGTGTCTGTCGTCAATCGTCATCATTCATCGTCGTCGCCGCCATCATCATCATCATCATCATCATCATCACCGCCATCATCATCATCATCATCATCATCATCATCATCATCATCATCATCATTATTTCACTGTAGCTGTCATCATCGTTCGCTTGCGCCACTCGCAATGCAAGGGATGCTAGGAGGATAGTTCTCAGCATCATCTTTGACCCAGTCAAAACCCGACTTGCAACGCAAGGGATGATAGGACGATAACCATCATCAAAGTTGTCGTCGTCATTATTTTCATCATTGTGGTTATATATCATTATCGCCCGCTGCCGAACAATTCGAGAAGTGATTCGCTCACACAAAAAACCTGTCCACTTCCACATGGGCTGTACCAACAAAAGAGAGGGGTCGGCGGCACAGGGCGGCAGCCCATAGATCCGGCTGGGGCAGCATATCTGTCGCCGCTTTGCAAGTTTGCCCGCTAGCTTTATTTCTGGGCCTGTGGCCTCTAGCAGTCTACGCCTCTTTGAAGTTACACCATGTCATGTCATGTTTTTTGTATGAGAAACGTATCCTGTGCTACGCGATGGCTGGTTAGGTTATGCATGTTCCCCACCCCAACCCCAGATTTCTGGGCCCCAGCCGGGCCCCAACCCAGAAGGCTGACATGGGGTCGCGCGCGCCCCAGAAAGAGCAGTCCAAAAAAACAGCCCGGGGACGCAAATGCAACAAAATACCGTAAATAGCAGCGTTTTGTGGCTGGGGTCGCGCAAGCTCGCGCGCGCGCGCCAGAAGGCCCGAAAACCAGCTCTGCGCAGCACGCGGGCCAGCCACAGCAAAGCAAAACGGACAGAACAACAGCCCATAGCGCAGCACAGCATCTTTTGACGGTTTTTACAACGTCTTGTAGAGCGAGGAGCCAGCATCGCCGGCATGTTCGGCAGCGCTTGGCGCCAGAATGCGTAAAAATGAGCCTCGCTTATATCCCTCCGACACATTCTAAAAAACAGCGCTTCATGGGTTGAGAGGCTGTTTGGAAGGAAGTCTTGATGATGCACACCAAGCCCCGCTGAAGCATCACCCAGGCCCAACCCCAGACCCTGATGATTTCAGCCACACGGCCTTTTCCCTGCATATACGCGATGTTTTGCGAATTAGGCAACGCATCACGACCAAGTGACGAGGGTCGGCAGCACACGGGCGCAGCCCCTATAGCTGAAGCTAGCATGCTACCCCAGGAGGAGGCGTAGCCGGATTATTTCTGGGCCTGCGGCCTCTAGCCGGCTACGCCTCTTTGAAGTAATACCAGGTCATGTCATGTTTTTTGTGTGAGAAACGTATCTGTGCTATGATATGGCCGGTTAGGTTATGCATGTTGCCCACCCCAGCCCCAGATGATGCCGGGGATGCCAGCTTGCTGGGCCCCCGGCTGCCCAACCCAGAAGGCTGACAAGGGGTCGCGCGCGCGCGCGCCAGAGGCCGGATTTAGGCAGCGCAACCAAGTGGCGAGGGTCGGCGGCACCAGGGCGCAGCCCCTATAGCTAAAGCTAGCAGGCTAATCGACATGCTAAGCCAGGAGGCGTAGCCGGATTACCTATGGAGCTGCACCCCTGTGCCGCCGACCCTCATCCCTTGGTCGTGATGCTTCGCCTAACAGCTCGGGCTTGCGGTTTTGCTTGCCTGTGGGATTGAGGGTCTGGGGTTGGGCCTGGACCCAAAAGGCATCGCAACCCGTGAAACACTGATTTTCCGAAGGCACCGAGGGGATAAAAGCAGGTCACATTTTCGCGCATTTTGGGGCCAAGCGCTGCCGGGAATGCCGGCAATGCTGGCTCCTCGCCCTACGAAACGCCGTAAATACCGTCAAAAAATGCTATGCTGCGCGCTGGGCTGATGTTCTGTTTGTTTTGCTTCTGCTTTGGCTGGCTCGTGTGCTGCGCGGTCCTTGTTTTTCTTCGGCTTGCTTTTTGGGCCTTCTGGCGCGCGCGCGCTCGCGCGCGCCCAAACAAAAAACGCTGCTATTTACAGTATTTTGTTGCGTTTGCGTTTCCGGGCTGGCTTGCGAGCTGTTCTTTTTCGGCTGGCCATTCTGGGGCCTCTAGCGCGCGCGCGCGCGACCCCATGTGAGTTGGCTCGGTTGGGGCCCCTGCTGGGGCTGACTTGACTTGGTATAATTTCACACAACACAATGACATGCCATGGTATAAGCTAACTTTGCATCGCAGATCACTGTGCCCGTTCACCTGCACACCTTCGCGAGGCCTAGCAGCAAAGAGTCCAGTCACCAGGCGGGGCCACTTGAATGATGCACCGTGAGAAATCCGCCCGCTTCGCATTTTGAAGTCCCCGCGCAGCAAAATCATAGCAAGGGCTCAAGCAGTCAATTGTAACAAGGACTGAATGTGAATGTTCCTTGTCTGCCCTGCAGAAAGCATTAAGGGCAGCACTCAGTTGTTTCGCGCGCCTCGTTGGCAGTATCATCATGCACATTGCCTACAAATTGCCTACAAATATACTGTATCAAATTTACTGTGCATGCCTTGATGCCCCGCTTACAGCCATGAGGAGGCCACAGAGGAGGGCACCCCGCGCTCGGGCCCGTCGGGCAATACCCCTGACCTTAAGGAGATGTTGCATGCGGAATGCTTCACGTCACAAGCGGGTCGAGTGCCACGCAACTCCGGCACTCCATGAGGTCCAGGGCCGCCTGGCGTACCATTTTGTAGGCAAGTGTTTGTTTTGTTTTGTTGGATGTGACAAAAACTTCTAGCAACTAAATTGCCAGCATCGCTGATGGCGTCCGCGTAGCTTTGCGAACTCATCTGGCTGAACAGATTGCACACATCCCGTGCAGCAAAGTGACGGGACTGCAGCAGTTTCTCGCTCTCTCTCTCTCTCTCTCTTTCTCTCTCTCTCTCTGTTGCACGGTTGTAGGGAGATATGCCTGGAAGAAAGGAAACCTTTGTTCAAGTCTACAGCGTCGAAGATCGCCTCAATGCGTCGAGGTGAAAAATATGCAGTGGAAAACAAGCCTGAGCCGCCAACGAGTTTGCTTTGGAATGCTACCGGTTCGAACCAGCGGTATCGTACTTGACAACATAAAGCTTCCGTGTAGCCAGGAGAAGCCAAGCTATTTCTGGTGCTGGAAGCAACAAACCAGAATGTCTGTCACTTTCCTTCGCAACATTCGGTCAGCTGGACTCACGGCATAAGCAATCGCGCCGCCATCCCTTTGCGACTATTGTGAAGCGACCTTCTGCGCCCCCCTCAAGCCCGCCTGCTCTACGCAACTCAAGAAAAGCATGCTAAAAGGAGTGGCAGTTGCTTCGGAGCACGCGGGCGACATCGGCAAAGCATTCTTTGCTTCCCTTCCTGTGTACATGTAGTGAAATTTGCTCCATTGTATCAATCACATACCACGGCATCACCTGCGCTTTGCGCCCGCAACTTCTAACTCTTCCTGCCCGTGTGCAACCTTACACTTCTACCCTGCTCAGCTCGTGGCATTGGCTCGGAGATTGCAAAGCCGCCAGTTTCCGAGCCCGCGATGTTCCTAGAAGCGAGGAGCCGAAGAGGCGATATAGGGTGCGTCGAATCGATCCCTGAAAATTCCATCACACAACATGATTGAAAGCCTAGCAACGACATTGCGGAGTTGCCTTGGATGTAACATGCACAAGCAATTCCCACGCACAGAAGCTGGGCCTTCTATTTTTTGATTTAAAAAAAAAATGTGCAAAGGTGATACGGCCAAGGCACCTTTCGTGGAGTTCCGATGGCCCTAAGTTTGCAAAAAGCAAAAATAAATAAATAAATAACAGAATGTTTGCTAGACCATGGCTGGCGAGACGAACATCCTAGCCCTGCCCTGGCCTGTTCGGTAAATCCGAATGACCTCCGGAAAGCGGAGCCCTCATATTCTTTGCCGTTCGATGTCATTCCATATGATCATGAAAAAGATGACCACGCAATGACAAGAGCATGCTCAATAAGAGCCACAATGCTCAATCATATATGCAAGTTTGTCACTCTGCGAAACCCTGGTCGCTCACCAAGTGCATGTCAGGCGCGATTGGCGACTAGGAGGGCGACTCCCAGATTTGCTGGAGGCTGACGACGCGCAGCTGCGACAAGCCCTGGCCAAAGAAACTGGGTCTGTTCACGAGTTTACTGAATGTACCATGGGTTTCGTGTATGGGACAAAGACAAGGACATAAAGGAGCCCTTTGCGCTTCGCAAAGCCAAAGCCGGATATCCACAAACACTTTTCCTGGCAAACGAAGGGTTGCACTTTGGCGTTTGACCTCTGAAAGAATCTGTGCGTGGAATCAGTGGGGCAAAAGTAGCATTGGAACATCAGGGTGATGGTCCGTGCCAAATGCCTGCCGATTGTATACCTGCAGACTACACTGTGTACATCTCTCACGCGCCTCAGCTCCGCCCTCAGGCGCTCGACCTCCTCTTCGGCCCGCTGCCTTTTCTGCCGCTCAATCTCCACCTCTCTGGTCGAACATTGAGTGCGCGTCTTGTTTGCAGGTTGGTTGCGAGACGGCGGCAGCAGCTACATTTCATTGTGGCGATGCAAGGACAAATGTGTGTTTGTACGTCAACATAACCGCAAACCAGGAGGTCTACACTGCCTTCGCAAGAGACCATCGCAAACTGCGTTAGCACAGCCCTTCCCAGTTGAGTTCGTTGACACTTGAAACATGTCCACGAAAAGAGTGTAAGCAACAGGCTCAGTCCAGTATCTCGCTTGGAAACGCGCCTGCTCAAAGCAAGGAGTGCCAGTTCGGGCACAAGACAATGCTGGTGTCTGTTTTCCATTTGGCACCTCCTGCACAAATGAGGAAGAAAATCGGCATATCAGCAACAAACAAAATGTCGGAACTGTCCAAATACTCAAGAATATAAACTGTATCAAGAAAAGCCTGCAAAAGTTGCATGCAAGTCTCAAATGATGGGAGAACTGGCGGCTTGGTCTGGTTTGCATTGATGACAATGCCAGCCTTGGCAATCACAAGTGAAACATGGCCAGTTTTCTTCAACAAATCTGCAAGGCTCAGGGGATCCAACTTCACGCAGCAAAGAAGCTGCTTGGATGCCTTTCCATGGGCGAAGCGCTTGCCGCTGCATTTCTCCGGCCTTTCGCCGCTCCAATCAGGAACCCCTTGCACTGTCAGTCATGGGCACTGTTGCGTTGCACACGTGGGCAGAACAGAAAGGCCACATCTCAGCAAGTTGCTGTCAAGATCTCCTTGCCAAAGTCTTTTGGCACCTAGACACACTTCTGACGGCAATGATACTGGCACTCGCTCATAAAACTAGCAAAATATCTACCAAGCTAAGCTCATCGCTTTGCCCTTGCGGCGCGGAGGAGGCTGGACAGGCTCTGGGGTTTCTTCCTCAACCATTTCTGTTCGCAAGTAATCCGAGGGTTTTGTGTCGATTGTTTCACACATGCAGGCAAATGTAAAAAATGCTATTTTAAGCTCAGCATCCCATCGATATGGGCCAGGTGACGCGCAAACACAACCAGCTGCTCGGTTGGTATAGCATGCTTCAATTGAAGCCCGTTCCCTCCAACCTGGACATGGCACGTCACAAGTGAAAAATGCATGATGCAACACTATGCTGTGGACCGTTGGAATCTTGAACTGGATTCACACGCGTGGGTCCAACCTCAGCCAAATATCTCTAATGTACTTTGTTTGATCGGACACTGTAATCGGCACCTCGAAAACGGCATGATTGTAAAAGGACATTGCTGCACTGATCTAGCTACAACTAACGCAACATGTGGATGCCTGTGCGCAATTTCGGACACCGATGCACACTATGTAGATTGCAATTTTGAGAGGCAACTGATGCTCAAAACCAGTGGTCGAAAAGTCGACACATCAAACTCAGTCGCCGAAACAACTGGCGAGCGATACTTGACTGGCTTTAATGAAACATCTGCAAAATGAGCCAAACGGCAGCTCCACTTACCGGATTGCTCTGCAACAGGCGCGGGTCAAAAAAAAAATATTAACATTTGAACCACTCCAATTTCAACGCGATCCAAGGTTGACGTGACCTTTTTATCTTGGTTGCTTGAGAGCCCAATGGGTTTCAAAAGGTTAACAACCTGGGTTAACAACCTGTTTACTGCTTCAAGCCCAACACATGCATGCAAGAAAAAAACGACCGACGCAAAAGAACTGCTGCAAAAGGGTGCAGGTTCTGGGAGGCAGATAAGTCAACATGCGTTTTCGACTTATACGGTAGAATTCGGTTTGCTACTTTTAGCCCAAAACGCACATGTGACAAACAAGAGCCAACCCACGAAACGGCGCGCACCTTTTTGTGTCCGGAGTTGCTCAGAGGTAACAGGCTTCGGAATGCATACAGATCAACAACGCATGTCGTCTGCATCCCGTGCGGAGCCTGTGGACAAACCCCCTCTGGTCAACAACGCGTGTTTGCCGCATTGTAGGTTTGTTGCCCACTAAGGCGTGAAACAAGACAGGGGTTGTCACCCAAGGCAAATGCGATGCGTGCATTCGTGCCTGATGGTCAGAAAAAACGTACTCTGCCGCCTGGTCTCAGAACGTTTTAAGCGCATTATTTGGATGTGCACGCGGCACAGCTCTGTCCTCCCAGGTTTTTTTTGCTCCCCATGTCGCCTTTCGAAGAATCGCCAGTCGACCGAAGAGACTCCGTACATGAAGTAAAAGGAAGAGACAAAAGAAAGAACGGCGCAAAAATATAGACATAGAAAGAAACAAAAGAAAGAACGAACACACAGAAAGAAAGAAAGACAGATAAGAAAGAAAGAAAGAAAGAAGGGAGGAAGACAGGCGAAGACAGGATAGAAAGAAAGAAAGAAAGAAAGAAAGAAAGAAAGACAGAAAGACAGAAAGACAGAAAGACAGAAAGACTGAAAGACAGAAAGACAGAAAGACAGAAAGACAGAAAGAAAGAAAGAAACAAAGAAAGAAAGAAAGAAAGAAAACGAAGAAGTTAAGGCATGTCGCGCTGCTCCTAGCTTGAACCCAAACATGAAACCTCAAAGAACAAAGCTCGTCCGAAGCGGCCGCAGTTCTTTTCACCGGGATTGCTGAAAGTTGCACTGCTTCCAGGGCACTAGTGCGCCTGGAGCAGGAGGCACATTGACCCCCGAAATGTGAAAAGGCAAGACAATGCGTGTCCTTGCGGGTAAATGCAGTGCTTGGGGGGGCGCGGCACGCGTGCCCACGCCCCAAGGTCCGGAGACCGACAGTCCGGAGACTTGAGGTCCGGAGACCGATTTTGGTCCGGAGACCTAGTCCGGAGACCACGGTGCCCGGAGGCGACCCACGAAAGTGCAGAGAAACTGCCGTCTATCCTGGCAAAGCCTGGCATAGGGCAATGCAGGGTGGGTGGGTGGGTTTCGAAATGAAACCGCAGGTTTGGGTCAAGGCTAGGAGCAAAACGGCCAACGCATAGTTCGATTCACCACATGCCCTAAACACAAGGGAAAAGAAACCCTAAGCGTTAAGGCATGTCGCACTGCTCCTAGCTTGAACCCAAACATGAAACCTCAAAGAACAAAGCTCGTCCGAAGCGGCCGCAGTTCTTTTCACCGGGATTGCTGAAAGTTGCACTGCTTCCAGGGCACTAGTGCGCCTGGAGCAGGAGGCACATTGCCCCCTTTTCAGTGTTTCAGGCAACCCGGTAAAAGCGAACCAGCTGGGCCGAAGGCCTCATCACCCGCCCTTCAGAGTGGGGTTGTACCTGGCAGGGCAGATGCTACGGTCACCATGCACGCTGTGTTGTGAACAGCTCGGCATGCGGTGACTGCACTTTTTTCTGGTCAGAGCGGCTTGTGTAAGCGGCTGGCTGACATTGCCAGTTGTTCTGGCTGACAAGGCAACGGCAGAAAAGGGCTCGGAAGGCCAAGTCGGATGCAGGCTAGGCTGGCTCAGCGACGATGGAAGCTGCTGCCAAATGTTCCGGACGCCAGGGCGCATGCATCGGACACAGCCGAAGGCCTCAGCCCGACATCGCCAGGCTTGCAGGGCTGAAGCGCATGCGATTTTCAGGGCGATGGCTGAATCGGGCCAATCGACCTCTGCTGAGATCGTCTGCCCAATCATTGCACCTTCCTGGAACGTGCGTTGGCTGCAGCAGCACGTTGTGAGCGTGAGGGCAGAAGGCTGTTAACTGCACAAAAAGTTGCAACGGCCATGAGGTCGTGAACAATTTGTTAAGGCTTGCTTCCGTGGCGGAATTGTCCGTGCCGGACGGCATGCTAAACGAGTAGTGCCCACCACCAATGTGGCTGTGGGTTGCTTGCAGCAGTGCTAGCTGTGCAAGTGTTTCAAAGCATGCGATATACCGCTGTGCTGGCTTGACCAGGCAAGGCCACACGGCTCGTATGTCTTGCATGTTCCATGTCTCGGCGAACCACACCACTTGGGAGGATGTGATTGCCCGGCCCCCAATCCCCACCATTTCATCTTCAGCACACGCGTCGGCGGCAGCCAGAGCTTGCAGCTGGCGCGGCCGCGCCAACGGCTGAATGGGCGAGTGTCGAAAGCACGACGCCAGCCAAGTAAGGCACTGTTGACTTGACTTGGAAAGGCTGGTGTATGGGTTGTTGGGGTCCGCGATGCGCACCCATGTAGGCTTGCTAGTGCCAGGCACTCGCGGAATGTCCTCAAGGCAATGCAAGGTGCGGCCTGAAATTTCCAAGATTTTGGAGCCCGCTGTGATCCACAATCCCGGCAGGCTGTGACTAGTTTTGAGGATGCTCGAAAGGCCGACCACATTTGCGGTGGTATTGAGTGCGTGGAGCCTGGTGGGCTGTTGAGGTCCGCGTAAAGCGGTGCCAGCCAGGACCTGAGGTGCAGGGCAATGCTGGTGGCCCAAATCAGCAGGCCTATGCACTGCTCGAGTGTCTTGCGGGGCACACGTCGGCTTCCCAGCAAGGATTTGATCAAGGCGTCCAGCTTGGCCAGTTTTGAGGACATGAGCTGAGTGGTGTCGTGAGAGAAGTGGATCTCCCAACCGCACCAAACCAATCCTGGAATTGCACCTTGCTGCAATGGCACAAAAGAAGAGCACCACCAAGGCAAACATGTCTGGCGCGCTATCCCGGACGAGTGCACAGAGCAGGTCGTCCACAAAGAGAAATGCTTTGTGCGGCTTCCAGGCTAGCAACCCATGCACTTGACGAAGCAAGAAAGCGCCGGTGCGCTGCCACCAGAAGGCCGAGAAACGGCCCCCAAAATGGCACACCCTGTAGTGGTAGAGCTTCCCTTGAAAGGCGAAGAGAAGAAGGCCATGTTCCTCTGGGCGCACCTGCACTTGTTTGTGCGCGGCTTTAAAGTCAATGCTGGCGCCGATGAAGGCACCTGGAGTGTCCTCTGGCTGCGTGGACAGCGCCAAATCAGAGGCCATGGGCAAGCTAAGGCGCTCTGGCAAATGGCATCTGGTGTTGACCTGGCACACGGTGCTATCCAAGACAAGGCGAGGTTCTTTGCCTTCGGCGAACACGACATTAAGCTTGCCCACGGCAATGCCTAAGGGCCATTTTTCCCGAGCGTCGGCTATGCTAAGGCTGGTTTCAACAATCCAGTTGTTAGCAATTTCCTTGCGCAGCAAACCTTGCACGGTTTCTGGCTCGTCTTCGGCCATCTTCCAGTTGCCTTCACAAATTTCCAGATCCGGCTGCGGCATGGAGTCTGGCTTTTTTGCCGGCCATTGAAGGCTTGGAGGCAAGGCTGATACGGGTTGTGTCGGCACTCCGTGCTGCAAAAATGGAAGGAGGGCCATGTCCGGGTCACCCCAAGATTTGGCCAGGGCATGCAGCAGGTGGAGTCGGTATGGCTGTCCAGGGCAGTTTTAACGCGGTATACGCTAGAGTTGCCGCTTCCAGGCTTTCGGAGGGTGAGAGTGGGCAGTCCGAGGAACCGCTGTTGACGTGTGCCAGGATGCGTGGCACGAGTTTGCGCTCATGCATCCAGTGTAGCCAGGGCCTGGCGACTGCCTGCAAAGGGTGCTCGGGCTTGGGGAGACACCAATCCGCTGAGGAGTGCATTCCTGCTCCATCACAGGTGGGGAGCCTGCAAGGCGCCAAGGTGACGGTGCTAGGGCAGTTAGAGTGTAGCGGCAGCGCTAGCCGGAAGGCCTGTGTTACTTCCCTTCCTATGCCTATTTGGGCCAATTGCAGGGCCAGGGAAGGGGGGTATTCTGCAGTCAGTGTGCTGAGGTATACCCCTTGTTCCTTCACCCCTGCAATACTCTGATGCTTGTGGGGGCGATTGCGGCGGGCCTGCAGGGCCTGTACCTTCGAACTGTTGCTGCCGAATGCCCATGACTTAGCGAATGCTTTGTCGTGCATGCAGGCGTCTACCCACACCAGGGCACACTGGTGATCGCGCAGCATTTGGAAGTTGGCCTCTTCCAACCAGGACATGGCTGATGGTGGCCGGGTTTGGAGACCACTGCTCTGAACAGGGCTCTACGGATGGTTTTGCTATCCTGCAATTTTTTACGCTGCGTGGGCGAAAGGCCGGGGACTCCGTCCATGTGCCGCGGCGTTCTCAAGGCTTTGGGCCCGCCCGGGCGAAGTTTGAGATCAGGGCCACGATTCCTGACCAGCAGAGTCTGAGGAGTGCCTCGAAGACGCTGTTATCCAGGATGTCGTGCGTTGCATCACCATCGAGGTCAAAAGGCTCAAAGCAGTCAAGGCCGAGGCTAATTGCGGCTGACGTCACTGGGCGCATGCAAACACGTCCAAAAAGAGTCGCTTGGAGGCTGGGTGCAAGTG